ATAGCCGACGTAAAAAAAGTTGACAACAACAACACAGACATAAAATTTTTTTTTTGTACGTTATCAGCCTCGAACTTTGTGTTATGAAATTTTAAATTGCACTTTTTTCTGAGTTTTGTTTTTGTGCTACCTATTACCACCACGACCACCTATCTACCTATTGCTGTTGTTGATGACGGATTTATTATTATTTAAAATGCAAGATAATTTTGTTTTGTTTAATTTTTTTCACTTTAACATTGAAAAATGTTCGAATTGATTGATAAGGTGTTTTTGATGATGATAGGTGTGAAGGAATATATATTTGGATGAGACGATTTTTCCTGCACAACGGTTGTTTAGAGGATTTAATGTGATTTTGAGCCATAATTGTTATAAATGAATAGATTTCTAGAGATTTCTAGATAAGGAGACCGCAGCAAGGTTGACTCCTTTCCAGAGCGCACCAAAGTCGCCAACATTTTTCACGAGGAAATCTTTATATTTCCTGTTCAAACAGTTGATGACTTTGGCATCATTCCGCATGAAGGCACTACCAAACTGACGATTACCCTGACGATTATCCACAGACGATAGCCGACCGAAGGGCTCTTTCAAAGAGCAACCAATGACTATCACTAATTCTGCCATAAGAATCAGATTTGTCAATGATTGCCACTTGAAGGTTTTCGTCCGCAGCTACCTTGGTCGGTCTGTCATATGGGTTACGCTGTCTATGGCTACGAACCTTGGAGTTTTTTTCCAGAGGACGTCTGTACTCGACTTTTTCTCCGCCGTTTGTTGTCCAGCGACAGCCGCATATGAGGTAGACGGGTCAGCCAGACGCGAAGTCATCGTCTTCTTGGGTGAAGGTTGCGGACTTCCTGAAGAGCGGATGCGCTTCACAGATTTGCTCTGTGGGGCGGCATTTGCTCTCCCAGGAGACGATGTTTCCTTACCGGACTTTCCCTTCTTCCTATTTCGACCACTGGTGGATCCACCCAAAGCTTCAGCTTCACCTTTGTTGCTAGGCGTAAAATCGGGCTTTGAGACAGAGCGCCCTGCACACGTAGATCACCCTTATGGGTGACATTTTGTTTCGGGATGTTCTCAGTAGCCTTTTCCTTTGCCTTTGCAGAAGTCGGATTAGCACCTTTGTCAGAGACAGTGGGCTTCGCCGATTCCACCACTTTTATGCGAGCACTAGGATTCGGGAGGGAGGTCCTGTTTATCTCGAGTTCATGATGGAGAGCGTGCGGATAGATTCTATCGGACTTCGCTACGAATCTCATCTTGCCCTTGGGCTCCGCCGATTCCACCACTTTTATGCGAGAAGTAGGATTCTGAAGGGAGATCCTGTCCATCTCGAATTCACGATGGAGAGCTTGCGGATAGATTCTATAGAACTTCCTTACGAATCTCATCTTGCCCTTGATGAGGTGAACCTCCCTCTCCGAAATCAAATTCGCGTCACGCCCCACGAATTTGCGGAGATACGAAACAGCACGTTTGTAGTGTTTCGCACCAACTACCTTTGGGGCCTTTCCAACATTTGAGCCGCTGTCCGTTGCTGGGATCTCGACAGATTCCCCATCGTTGGACATCGCCTCCGTCGCAGATTGCCTCTGAAGTTTATTGTCGGCAAGTGCTGACACAGGACCTGTTGTAGTCAGACTTGAAGTCGGTCGGTCAAAAGGTTCTGCGCTTCTTTCGTTAATACTACAAAAATCCCTGTGTAGTCTTGGCTGGGATCACCGTGGTGTCCAGCTCATCATCAGTTAGGGTGAGATTCAGTAGCAGTTCCTCCGGAAGCGTATCCCCACATTGCTCTTCCGGTATCAGTCTGTCTAACTGGTCGAAGATTTCCTTACTTTGCCTTGACCTGCTCATTTGCCAAAGGAATAGCCATTCGTTAACGTTCGGATTTGAAATTGATGCACTTGTAACAGATACAGCTGCAGGTGCCAAAGCATCCACACCTAGAACAGCCGGATCACAATCGCTTGATCTCGACGACACGTGGCTTGTGACCTCATCAACGATTGCCGCCGGTACTGGGTTATTAACTCCCTGCATCCTAACTTTATTAATTTTGCTCCGTTTACCAAATCGTAGTTAATTAATTTAAGGGCACTACCCCGATCCATTTTGGTCCACGGGGGATCCGAAGATCCCCAAGGTTTCCACGAAGTGCAGAGAAAAGTTCAGTTTCAGTTTCACCTGCACATCATGGAGCCCCCCTTCCCATCGGTCACCAGCGAAAACGCGCCCCTAAAGTAAAGCAACTTGGATCTGTAGGCCATTTTTTGTTAAATGTCTCGGATAATTATGAACTCTATTTTAGGGAATAAGTTATAGAATGGAGTCGTTTTGGTTCTGGGACCCCACTGTATTTTTCTGGGAACCCAACAAACACTAATGAATTTATTCATATAACGTAGAGCTAATCCATTCCAATCGATTTACGGCTTCATAATTGTTCTTATAGTACCCTGAGAAGTGCTTATGAGAGAGCTGCAGTTATTATAAGCGTTCATTGTGCCGATCTAGAGATAGTACCTCTCTTTTGAAGCCAAGTGGTTTGACATTTATGATGCCTCATTCTGGTTTCTATCTAACCAGAGATTTCCATTAATTCCATAATTTCCATTAATTCATTATTTGATGACTCTGCTAAGTCAGATTTTGGAAAACCTGCCTTGTAAACATCATTTGTAGTAAAAAAGTCAGAATAAACGTTTACGTTATTTACCACGTTCTAATGACCATTTCCAGTTTATTTAAATATACTATAAAATAAAATTAATAAAAATTAGTTATTTATTTTCTTTTCTATTTTTTCAGTTAGTTCCGGTGTGCCTCATACCATATATAAGGGAAATCAAAAGAAATACACAAAAGAATGTATACTCATATACGATAAAAGAACTGGTGATATAACATTAGAAAAATTAAATCACAACATACAAGTGAAGAAAACGCGGTAAGTTGAATATCGTAACAATCTACCTTGCTGGTCCGTGAGGCTTGACCTCAAGGATAAGGATGATAAAAATTAGAATTATATATTCGAATGATTATTTACATTTTTTGTCCTCTTTTACAGCGAAATGACAAACAAGCCAAGTGTACCTATTCCTTCGTCAATGCCAGCAGTTGGTGGTGGTGGCCATATTGGTGCTGCTTCATCAGCATCATCATCATTGTCATCAACGGCGACGGCAAGCACAACAGGACCAGCGCCAAAACTAGAAAACAGTACAATGAGAATAACATCCAAAACAAAAGTTTCAACAGGCAATAGAAGAAATACGATAAGTGAGTAGCAAATAGAACTTTTATTACATAGAAAGTTTTAAAAAAACATTTTTTGTTTTATTTTTCTTTTTCAGTTGAGTTAAAGTCACGCAATTCCCCAATGCAGGGCTCACCATCGGCTGTTGTTAACCGAAGTCCTCAGTCGGCACCAGCGTATGTTATTTTGATATTATTTTCTAAATGTTTGCAACAGATTTAAACTTTTTGTCTTTTTCTTTCCTTTTCTTACAGTTGGAATGCCAATAATGGCCAGGCTACCTTACCTAGTATACCCATGATTGTTGATGATGATGATTCTATGTTTGGCATTGGTGGTGGTGGTAGTGGCGGTGGTGCTGCAGCTGGTGGCGGTCTTAATTCCGGTGGCTATAATAATAATCTTGCTAATGTCTCTGCCTCATCATCCTCCTCAACATCGAGTCATAATAATTCTGGCCAAGAATTTGATTTTCAACAATTGCTCCAGGGTGCTATATCATCACCAACCAAACAATCAAAACAATCATCGTCATCACATCACAGTAATCAAAAACGACACAACAATCACCAGCGGCAACAGCAGCAGCAACAACAACAGTCTTCACAAACGCAACAACTACATCAATGGCAACAGAATCTGCAACATCAGCAACAACAACAGCAGCAACAAACACAAAATTCATATAATCGTTATAATGGCAATGGCAATTCCTCTTCTTCCTCATCGTTATTTAGTAATAATCATCATAGCAATAATCTACAGAATAGCAATCATAATAATAGTAGCAGTAATAACTATCATCAAACTAACTATGATATTGCCTCATCGCCAACATTGGCAATTGAAGCAGCAGCATTGGAACAGGTATGTAAAAAAAATCTGGAAATTATTTTTTTTTATAGTGAAATAACTTTGTTCTGTGTTGTTTTGTTCGACCTTTTGATTCTTATATAATAAAACAATATATTTTTTCGAGCTTGAGGTCTTTTTTATTTTTCAGGATCAATATTTCGCAATTGTTTTAAATTGCATCTTCAGGATAATCTACAAACAATTTTGAAATTAATGACATTAATTATACAGAATGAAGTGACAAAATCGCTTACAAATAAACTAGTGTCAAGTTTACTTAAAACTATGATAGACTTCACTATCGTCGTCGGATGTAAATATTGCACTGAGTTTATTTTAGTTTATTGCACGATCTCTCTTTCTGTGTAAGGTGTCTGTAACAGTAAGCTGCGTTGTCTGTGTCGCTCTTAAAATTAATTCTCTTTGTTGTTGGTAGGTTGTTTATGTGTAGCATTTCCAATGTAAGTCTCCTATTGTAATTGTTTTCTGTTTGAAGTATTTGTACTTTATCAAAGTTTGGTCTATGGTTGTTGTTCTTACAGTGTTCTGCAAGTGCTGTTTTTTGTGTATTATTCTGATTCCTTAATTTAATGTCAGATTTGTGTGCCGATAATCTGGTTTTTAATTTATTTTTTGTGGTTCCAACATACACCTGTTTACATTTTTCTTCATCGTTTCCATCACATTCTATTTTATAGATAACATTGTGTTTTTCCAATCTTTGTATCTTGCTTTTCGTGTTGGAAAATAACGTTTTTAGCGTATTATTTGTTTTTTGGGCCACCTTATATTTTTCTTTATCAAATAAATTTGCATTCTGAAATCTTTCTGAAATTATTGGGATATAAATCATTGATTTGTATTTGGATTTTGTTAGTTTCCTTTTGTATGTTATTTGTTATTTTGTTTTCTTTGCAGATTATGTTGTCTTTCTCCTCTTGTGTTAGATGTTTCTCTAATTCAGTATCTAATGTTTGAGGAGGAAAGAACTTACAAATCAATGATTTATATCCCAATAATTTCAGAAAGATTTCAGAATGCAAATTTATTTGATAAAGAAAAATATAAGGTGGCCCAAAAAACAAATAATACGCTAAAAACGTTATTTTCCAACACGAAAAGCAAGATACAAAGATTGGAAAAACACAATGTTATCTATAAAATAGAATGTGATGGAAACGATGAAGAAAAATGTAAACAGGTGTATGTTGGAACCACAAAAAATAAATTAAAAACCAGATTATCGGCACACAAATCTGACATTAAATTAAGGAATCAGAATAATACACAAAAAACAGCACTTGCAGAACACTGTAAGAACAACAACCATAGACCAAACTTTGATAAAGTACAAATACTTCAAACAGAAAACAATTACAATAGGAGACTTACATTGGAAATGCTACACATAAACAACCTACCAACAACAAAGAGAATTAATTTTAAGAGCGACACAGACAACGCAGCTTACTGTTACAGACACCTTACACAGAAAGAGAGATCGTGCAATAAACTAAAATAAACTCAGTGCAATATTTACATCCGACGACGATAGTGAAGTCTATCATAGTTTTAAGTAAACTTGACACTAGTTTATTTGTAAGCGATTTTGTCACTTCATTCTGTATAATTAATGTCATTAATTTCAAAATTGTTTGTAGATTATCCTGAAGATGCAATTTAAAACAATTGCGAAATATTGATCCTGAAAAATAAAAAAGACCTCAAGCTCGAAAAAATATATTGTTTTATTATATAGTGAAATAACTTTAAATATGGAAATATGGAAAGCCGGAGAGGATATAAATTAGAGTAAATTTTGGGTGTAAGAATAAAATTTAATGCTATCGGACGCTTTCACAGCACACATCATTCTAGACTCATTTCAGTGCGCTGCGTCAAATTTCGTGCAAGTCGAAGGATATATAGGGACTTTGGTGCACCATTTACATTAAATCGGACGAAATTATATATGGGTGATATATATATATATATAAATCAGACTCGATTTTCACGAAACTTAACACACATCATTGTAGACTTAATTCAGTACGCTATGCTAAAATTCGTGGAAATCGAATGAAATATCGGGACTTTGCAGCACCATTTATGTTAAATCGGACGAAAATATATATGGGAGCTATATCTAAACCTGAACCGATTTTCGCGAAACATAGCACACATCATTTTAGTCTCAATTCAGTACGCTATGCCAAATTTCGTGCAAATCGAAAGAAATATCGGGACCTTGGTGCACCATTTACATTAAATCGGACGAAAATATATATTAGAACTATATCTAAATCTGAATCAATTTTCCAAATAAATGAGCTGTGCCAAATTCCATCCAATTCGGATTTTAAATGCGACCTGTACTTTGTTTATAATTTAACATCAACAGAAGACCGTAAATATTTTTGGTCCCAGCTGGCGTATATTTCGAAGTCACTTTTAGAAGACAATAACTGTCTGATAGAGGGACAAATCGGTAGATCCAAATCTTGTACGGAATTAGGATGCCCCACCTGAATATGGGCCGCACTTTCCTTGACCATAGGAAAGCAATTGGCAAGAATTGGGAGAGTTCACCTTCACATAATATTTCTTCTTAAGTTCTGATAGCAGAAAATAATTATCTACACATTATTACGGCAGCATGTTTACCTGCTGGTCTAATACCCGAGAGGAGACTTAATTAAACATCAGAGATATTCGTGCTATTTATGAGCATGATGATAAGCTTCGTAATTCTAACCAGTAGAATAGACGATTAGTAGAGGAGCATAAGCGGAATAAAAATGTGTCATCTGAAGTGTTAGGAAAATAGAATGATAGAACTCCAGTGATATTTAACGACGCAATGATGACTGACTAAAATATTTAACGGACAGCATTGTTTCCAAATCCTCAAATTGGCAAGTGGTTGCGTTGACCGAAGCCAGACGAGGACGCTAGCCTATAGAAACGAACATTCTTTTCCAACATAAAAGTTACTACTCTATAGAAAAAAATTTTTTTTCTATAGAAAATATTTTCCTGTGGTTTAGAGGATTTTGTCCTATATCAAATATCAATACTCCTCAAGCCCTCTCGAATTATTTTATAGAAAAATCTTTCCTAGTATTAGAGAATTTTTTTAATTTTTTTCCTATAAAAGTTTTACTCTGAAATTTTTTTTTCTACTGACCAAAAATGTCTCTCTGGCTCAGAAGAATATTTTTCTGTGAAGGAAATCTTTCTCTGGGCCAGAAACTATCGAAAAAACCCTCTAGCCTAGGGAGAGATATTTTTCTATTTAGAAAAACACTCTGGCTTAGAAGAAGACTATTTTCTTGAGAAATAAAATCCTCCGGCCTTAGGAAAATATTTCTTACGTCTCCGAGGAAACCCTTCTTTTCTATGTTAGGTTAGGTTAGGTTTGGGGATGAGAGCAGGACTGGGCAACGACACAGGAGATGCTCAATTGAATCCGTCTCCTCCTCGTCAACGCAGAGTCTACAGTAATCAGAAGCATCACGGTCCCATTTACTGGTTTGATGGCTTTAAGAGCCGCTTGACTATCAACGATCTCCAGATCTTATATGAATTCCGCTGACTTCCAAATCGCGAGGAAAGCTCAAGGCCTAGCCTTTCACAGTAGACGCCAGCCCCTGTACCTTCTTCCATCTTGGATTAGTCTGTATATGGTGATATATAGTCAAGTTCAGCATTGCGTTCAAACCTGCTTGTGGGGTGCTCCTCGTGGCTCCTGATGTACCTTATCTAGTTTGCTTAATATATAATAACTTCCTGAGGCCATACTGATTGATTTTTTCTTTTGAATGAAAACCCTAAGGAACCTATGGACAACTTTTTGTATAAAAAAACATTTCTCACTTGCCGTCGTCAGGAACTATCAAGATCATGGGAAAAAATTAATTTGCCTAAGATTTTTTTGTAGAAAAGAAATCGCATTTAACGCCAAATATGACAACCCAAAATACTCGTGTTCAAATTCGACAGCATGTCATAGCTCTTGGAATGCATGTGAACTAATAAAACTGTGAACCTAATAGAAGAAAATATCATATCAAAAGGAGCTATAGGTTTTAGATATGACAATTTTTTGGTTATTTATCGTATATAATTAAATTTCGGAGAGTCGCATATAGGAAACTTTATACTCTTTGCTCTTTGTTAATAATATTCTCTTCTCTTTTACTATTTACAGAACATTGCATCCGATTTAAGTTCATCCAGCTCAAGTTCAGATTCTGAATCTAGCGGCAGTGAAAGTGGCTCCGATTCCGATGACAGCACTGAAGATGATCGACCACCCACAAAGGCTGCGGCGGCACAAATGATGAATCAATTGCCCAATTTGGGTAATGCACCATCTTCGCCGCAAATGCATTACAATCCACACACAAACAGTCAAAGTAATCATCATCATCAGAATCATCTCAACAGCAGCAGCAACAACAGTCATCATCATCAACAGCAGCAGCATCAGCAAAATTCCGAAACAAATAATTCAAATTCGCTTGGTAACTTTGGTTTCAATGATGGTTTTCCCAATGATTTATTGCAAAATGATTTACAATTGTCATCGAATTCATCGGATGATGATTCGGATTAGATGGGATATAATCATCCCAACCCTTTATGGTTAAAGGGGATATTAAAATAGAAAAAATGGAAAAAACCAAAACCATTCTCTCATACACCTTTTCATACTCACACACACATATACAAGTTCACTTCAGTTGAAGAAACAAGAAAAAAAGGATAAATGAAAAAACTACCACACTAACACAAGCTCACCTGCATACACTCTCACACACCCACAGCCACTCAAAAAACCCCAAATACTTTTAGTATATTTTTGTAAAAATAATTAAAGAAGATTAAGACAAAGAAACCATATAAAATATATAGATAATAATTATAAAGAAACAAGAAAACTAAAATCGAAAACAAATGTGTTTATAAAGCAGCAGCAAGAAGTAATAATTTTGTAAAAAAAGATTTAAGAAATGGATAGAAATATGGGCGGGGAACAACAACAAATAATTACAATTTTGTATGAAAAATTTATAGTTAATATTTTAAACAAAGCAAAAACAAAAAAAAAACTGAAACTAATTAATTATGTTGATAAAGAAAAGTTGTGTTTTTTAAATAATAAAAACTTTATTTTTTATTGCCTTTTAAACAAAAAAAAAATCTATTGTTTTGTTTTTTTTCTTTATTTTATTTTTCTAAGTTAATTTAGCTTCTGCTCCTTTCCAATAACTTCTATTTTATTTTTATATAAAAATACAACCATATAAATATTATAAATATAAAACAAAAAACAATTAAATATATATTTAAAATATGAAAAAAATGAAAAATAACGTGAAACTTATTATTAAAAGTTAAATAATGGTGTATTTTATAGTTTTTGTTTGTTTTTTATTATTACAATTATTATTATTATTAAATTTTATTAATGATATTTCAGTTTAATTTTAGTAAAATGTGTTTTTATGTTCTTTAGTTTAAAACAAAACAAAAAAATCGATGAAAATTAATGGAGTTGATGCAAACCACGATAATAATTACAATGTATAGCAGAAAAGAAAAAAAAAAAACAAAGAAGAAGGATGAACGATATTTTTTTCCACCATGTGTAGTTACAATTTTTATTTTAAAAATGTAAAAAAAAACTTTTGTTTAAACAATCTTCTTGTTAAAAGAACCAACCATTGTTGTGCTAAAGAATTCCTTTTTTAAATATTTTCTTTTCTCTCGTTTTCTTAAGACACACATACATACACAAATTGCCAATACTTGATTCTTTTTATTCTTAAATATATTAATTATTATTAATAGTTTTTTTTTTAATTTATTTTTTATTGAATTTAGTAAATTTAAGAGTTATACTTATGACAAAATAAAAACAACAACAAAAACCCAATTAAAATCATAAATCAAGCAAAGCAAAGAATATATAAAAAAATGAAGAAACCTTGGACGAAGTAACAAATTATATGAGACCAGACGAAAATTAATGAATACAAAACAACAGCAACAAAATGAAAATAAAAAACAAAAATTTTACATATTCTAATAAATATAAAAAAAGAAAAAAAAACATATATAACAAAAAAAAAAATATATATGGGCATTGTTTTTTGGAAAGGACTTTGACAAATTAAAATTCTTGGTAAGTTTCAAGGCCTATATAAGTATGTAATAAGTAAGCGAATTCTTAGAGAAAACTTAAGTATAACGTAATTTTTTTGTCGAGGCGAAAACTAATTGTTTCGCCCAAGATTCAAACCTTGGTTTTGCCTTTCAATAAAAAACACAACCTAAACAGATCACAATTTAAAATTTTGTAACATAATTTACTTGAAAAATTTCTTTAAAATCTTCAAATTTTTCTTGTTTGGATTTGTTTCGGCTTAAGGTTAAATAAAATTCAGTATTTTGTTTTCTGCTTTTTTATTTTTTATTCTCCAATATTTCGACTATCTTCGACAGTCATCTTCAGGGAAATACTAAAAGATACAATTATTTAATAAGGTTTTCACAGAATAATATAACACAAATATTACGTTATGAGAGAAGCTACAGGTTTGTTACACCGTCTATGCTAAACTAAACTTTAATTCGTCTGTGCTTATGAACTAAATTTCTATACATATGTGCACAGTGGTCCGTGTCAGTCTTGTAATTCATTCTCTTCTCTTGCGGTACATTTATTATATTAAGCATTTCTAAAGTAAATCGTCGTTTATAATTGTTTTCTTGTGTCAAAATATCAACGTCTTTGAAATTTGGCGTATGCCCCGTCATTGTGCAATGTGCTGCAAGAGCCGTCTTTTGTTCTAATGGCTTGTCTGCATTTTGATCCGACTTATGTCCAGAAAGTCTTGTCTTTAGTTTGGTTTTTGTTGTACCAACATACACCTTTTGGCATAAGTTGGTTTTGTCCCCGTTACATTTTATCTTATATACTACATTGCACTTGTCTTCTTTTTTTATTTTCGATTTTGTCTTGCTGAATAGGCTATTGATACTATTTTTAGATTTTAGGGCTAGTTGATAATTGTGTTTGTCATAGATATTTGAATTGCTCAATCTCTCGGAAAGTCCTGGTATATATGTCATTGGCTTGTACGATTTTTCTTCTTTTTCAATTTTGGTTTTATTTTTCGATTTACAGGATTTTAGTAGTTCGCGAGAATAAAACTAGTCTCTCTCATTGACGACCACTTACAACACACGAAACTAAGTATAAGAGATAAGATTATTATTGACACAGTGGGTAAAACAAAACAATTTTTGAATCAACAGAAAGACATTTTGATATTAAACGCGGATAAAGGGGGAAAGACGGTTGCTATGTACAAAAATTACTACGAAACAAAAATGAAAAATATGTTACGGGATATGTGCATATATAGAAGATTAAAACGGGACCCAACATCTAACCTACAAAACAAAAACAAATTGACGGAGAAATTGTACAACATGAATATCATAAATTTGCAGGAAAAGTATAAAATGACGACTTACACATCAATTGCGCCAAGAATATACGGCTTGCCAAAAATACACAAAGAAGGAATACCCCTCAGGCCCATATGTTCATCTATTAATTCCCCAACGTATGAACTTTCAAAATACATTGTACACATTTTAAAGAACTTGACCAAGAATTCATGTTACAACATTAAAGACGCCATGGAGATGAGAAGAAGAATTAATGACTTATCAATAGAAGAAGACGAGATTTTACTATCATTTGACGTTATCTCACTATTCCCCAGCATACCTATAAATTTAGCATTGAAGACTATTACCGAAAAATGGGACATAATAAAAGAATATACAAATATACAAAAGGACCTCTTCATAGAAATACTAACTCTTTGTATAAAAGATTCAAGATATTTCATTTATGATGACAAGGTGTATGAACAGAGAAAAGGACTACCGATGGGATCTCCAGCGTCACCGATTATTGCAGACATAGTAATGGAGGAGTTATTGGACGCTACAATGGAGAAATTGACACACAAACCAAAAGTGCTTACCAAATATGTGGACGATATATTCTGCATTGTAAAAAGAACGGAAATAGACAACACTTTAAACATCCTCAACTCATTTGATAAACATGTACAATTTACACACGAAATAGAAGAAAACCAAAAATTACCATATCTTGACGCAATGATAATTCGACAAGGCCAAAAATTAACAATAGATTGGTACCAAAAACCCACCGCATCTGGACGATTAATAAATTTCTATTCAAAACACCCCAGACGCATAAAAATAAATACGGCCACAAACTTTATAAACAGAGTATTAAACATAAGCGACGAACAATTTCACCAACCAAATGAAGAAAAGATACGATACATATTAATAAAAAATGATTTTCCATTAAAAACAATTGACGAACTACTAAAATCCTGTAAATCGAAAAATAAAACCAAAATTGAAAAAGAAGAAAAATCGTACAAGCCAATGACATATATACCAGGACTTTCCGAGAGATTGAGCAATTCAAATATCTATGACAAACACAATTATCAACTAGCCCTAAAATCTAAAAATAGTATCAATAGCCTATTCAGCAAGACAAAATCGAAAATAAAAAAGAAGACAAGTGCAATGTAGTATATAAGATAAAATGTAACGGGGACAAAACCAACTTATGCCAAAAGGTGTATGTTGGTACAACAAAAACCAAACTAAAGACAAGACTTTCTGGACATAAGTCGGATCAAAATGCAGACAAGCCATTAGAACAAAAGACGGCTCTTGCAGCACATTGCACAATGACGGGGCATACGCCAAATTTCAAAGACGTTGATATTTTGACACAAGAAAACAATTATAAACGACGATTTACTTTAGAAATGCTTAATATAATAAATGTACCGCAAGAGAAGAGAATGAATTACAAGACTGACACGGACCACTGTGCACATATGTATAGAAATTTAGTTCATAAGCACAGACGAATTAAAGTTTAGTTTAGCATAGACGGTGTAACAAACCTGTAGCTTCTCTCATAACGTAATATTTGTGTTATATTATTCTGTGAAAACCTTATTAAATAATTGTATCTTTTAGTATTTCCCTGAAGATGACTGTCGAAGATAGTCGAAATATTGGAGAATAAAAAAAAATAAAAAAAGCAGAAAACAAAATACTGAATTTTATTTAACCTTAAGCCGAAACAAATCCAAACAAGAAAAATAATACATCACAGGTTAACAAAAATAACAAAAACAATCTTAAAATAGTCAAAAAAAAAAAAAAAAATAAATTGATTGATTGATGACAAATTATTAATATTTTCGATTTGACGTCTAACATCATTATATAGGTAATAGGTTTCAAAATATGATTTGACAGGAAACTTAATACTCAGCTGTCCTTACTGTCCGACCTTATATAGGTCTTGATAAGTTTGAAACGTTTTTTGGATAATTCCAAAACCCCTACCCCTATTATAACTATTTTGAGATATTGGGAAGTGTGAATTCAAATTCATTATAAAGAGGGGATTCACATTTCCCATTATTTGTGACAATGATTTTATATTTTTGATTGGATACAAATTTATGTGACGACTCATCACTCCATTCGGAGTTCAAAAAAGACTAAGGATCTTTAATATCATATCCTTGTATCTCCTGCGAACAAATTACCATCTATTATAGTTCAAGTTTTGCACTTAGAGAATTCGAACAGAACCTATGCGATTCTTGTAGAGGAACAAAACGCGGTATTCTTGCGTAAAATATTTGTAAAGGGGGTAGCTGCCTTTGCAATTAATTCTACACTTCAATGACCGTCCCACGGCAGCTGGTTCAATGCCCCGGATTGACTGAAAACAGGTGTAAAAGTCCTTCAGTTCTTTTCGGTCGACATTTTTTTACCCTCCACAACTTGGGGTACATTCAAAATTCCTTTATATGGGGAATATGTTATGGTGTTATGTGGTGTTCCACTCTGTAATTTGGAACACTACACACTAGAGTAACTTCGGATAATGTGGACCACCCGCCATATCTAAGAAAATGCTTGAAATATGTCAATGTCGCCTTGATAAATGTTTTCCTAATTAGTGAAAACAAACATCAAACTTGGTAGAAAATATAGCTCTGATTGTAAAAGTGTGATTTGAACATTTTTTAGCACAATAGTCGAACGTTTTTACAAAATAGTCGAGCACTTTGTTTTTCTCGAATATAAAGAAGTTATGTGATTTTCTTGGTTTCTTTAAGAAATATATACGTTTAGTTGTAATAACAATCGGTGATTTTTAAATTTTTATTCATTTTTGAAGCCGATAATTATTTTTAAATAAAAATATTCAATGTCAGGTAATGTGCGAGGAGGTATTCTATCCTCTGAAAACTCGATATGCGAAATTACAGGTGCTTCGGTTGGATAATGCCTAGCTTCATTATCCAACCGAAGCACCTGTAATTCAAAATACCACAAATGGGGCGGTACCCTTAAATGGAGGCTATTCCAAAACAATAATCCACATATTTTTGATTTGATACTCAATGTACATCCAAATTTGTTGTTGGATGACGTGTCTAAAACCCCCAAAATGCCGAAAAATGGGTGGTGCTGTTATATGGGGGTTACCCTAAAAAGTGGACCAATATTCATAATTTCCAGTAGGAAGAGTTAATACTTAATGAGAATCAAACATAATAAATTACAGCCAATTAGATTGAAAATCGTGTTAAAAATCCCCATAATACCGAATATTTTGGGGTACCGTTATATGGAGATACCATAAGAAGAGGACGAATATTGATCATTTTCGGTAGGAAGATTTAATACTCAATGAGAACAAAACGTAGCAAATTACATCCAATTCTTTTGAATAACAAGTGTGGAACTTGAAAACTACAGCTTCGAGGTAGTGAACGATTTTATATTCTTTGGTAAACAAAACAAAGCTTTGAAATCATGGCCACCTCTCGCCAGACCAAACTCACACTCTACAAGACGCTGATATTACCAGAAGGGGAAGGCCACGAATCCGATGGAAAGATCAAGTAGAAGACAACATCTCGGAAAATTGTCGTTCAAATTGGATGAGGTGAGCACAAGACCGACGCGCCTGGAAATCTTTTTTATGCTCGGCTTATGGAACAACCGTTCTGTCATAAGCCAGCTAAGTAAGTAAGTATACTTTTAACCCTACAAGAACCCAGAATGTGAAATTAAAACCACTTTGGTTGGAAAATCGGATAAATCATTCAAAATGCCGAAAATTACCAAATTACAGGAACTTTGGCTGTAAAGGTGGCATAAACCTTAAAAATGAAAATGAAGACGGAACGACTTTATGGGGACTATGTCAAAACATAAACAATTTTTTGCAATTATGCTTCTTACCTTCTAAGAACATGGAATGCCATTGAAAAATTTTGGCAAATATTTTTCTAACCTCCCATGAATCCTAAATTATAAATAGTAGCCACTTGGTGGAAACCGTGGAATGATATAGGTATGTATAAATTAAATATTGAGATCTCTTTCGTGATTTTAGTTGCCGGACATGGCTAAATAGCCAAGAAATTTTATTCTGATCAAAAAGGGGATGACAAATTTATGTAGACCCACATTAGGAATACCGGTTGAAGATAAAGAATGCAATTATTATTATTCTATGACCTGTTCCGTACTGCAAGAATCTACTACTTTTTACTACGATAACAAATTTTCCTTTAAGATATAGAAGAAAATAGTAAAATCTTGTAGATTCTTGCAGTACGGGAACAGACCACTAGTAATCCTTCATTGCTTTCGAATAAATGCTAACCTATCAATTTCAGCTGTTCAAAATATTCAATATTCCCCTTCAAACTATACCGCAAAATTCCCCCAAACATTGCAAATTAATCACATTGGCAGCACCATTTTATAAAACACACTCACACGCCCATATGGATACCACTACAAATGTACTGACCAGCTCCCCACCACATGTTGACACAGCAAACGGCGGCAGAGAGATAGTAAATTAGTCAAGTATTTTTAGTTGAAGCACACCACAGTTTATTGGCAGCAGGAGAGAGAGGTACGTCTTTTTTTATTTCCATTCCCAAAAAATAAACAACTCTAGATTGTTCTTAAAAAAATTTTGCAAAAAATTAATAAAAACTATTAAACTATTTTCAATTAGGAATTTGCAAAATAAACACAACAACATGGCTGAATTAACTGGTCTAACCAATTCCGAGGCTGAGGAATTATGTAAACCAGCAGATCCCTCAACTAAGGTAGGTATTTGGAGGACATAAAATTGGAGCTATGAAATCATTAAAATAATGCCGGTGTTTGTGTGTTTTCTTTTTGCAGGATTTCCTTTTCCAACAAACCATGTATCGCATTAAGGATCCACGCAAATCATTGCCATTCTATAGCAATGTTTTGGGTATGACTCTGTTGCAGAAATTGGATTTCCCAGCTGCCCAATTCTCATTGTACTTTATGGGGTGAGTAGGAGTGACAGAAAACAACAGTTTTTTTTTCGAAATTTAATATTTTATTTATATTGAAATAGTTATGAAAATCCCGCTGATGTTCCCAAGGATACCAAGGAACGCACCAAATGGGCCATGAGCCGTAAAGCTACCGTGGAATTGACACAGTAAGTGTATTAATTTTTAATCGTCATAGAACAAATGTTCAATTAATAGATACTATAGATACTATAAAATCAATACGAACAAAAAGACGCACATACAAACGTGATTAGTTCATTGTGCCCGTGGGTTTGTTTTTTGTTGCGAATTCGGCCGGCATTTCTCCGGTATGCGTATGTGATGTGCCTACCAAATATGTTAACATTTTTATAGACTTAGTACAACAACATCATTATCATAATACGATGATATGACAAAAATTAGATTAGATTGATTTCGAGAATTTGTCAATAGTGTTTGGCGATTGATGGATGATCGTAGTTGACAGCAGGGCAGGGCGGATGAGAACAATTTTTACCAAAAATTTGCCATTCCGTTTACAACACCTCGAAATACTCACCGGAGATCCCATAAATTCTCATAATTTGTTCATAATCTCAATAATAACAAAATTCCGTCTGCATACTGAAATTACGATAAGAATCGCAATATTTAAGAGCTTTGGAATTTTGAACAGACGTTGTTATTCCCATGATGTTTGGTATTAAAAATGGAATATAATGTTTTAATATAGTATCCGCTAGGAACACATCATATAGGTTTGGGGATGTGCAGTCACTTATGTGGCTGGAGCACTCTGAGACCGCCAGGTGCATTGTGATCATCTACGAAGAGAAAAAGAAAAAAATATATGGAGAGATCTATGGGGGGAGAAAAGAAGGGGGGATAGAGAGAGATGAGAAAGAAGTGTAGGAAGGTAAGTATGAGATAGTATTGCTATAGAGATCGGACAGAAGATATATGATGTGTCGAGGTTGCACTTTCCCAACCATTTTAGGTTTCTAATGATGCTGTGGATTAGTGCAGGTTCCGTTGTTGAGAAGAAACTAAGAATCGGTGAAAAGTGAGCACCAACTAGTCTGTGCCGTCTGTAGGCCAGGACTAGGCAGCGACACAGGAGATGCTCAATTGTCTCAGTCTCCTCCTCGTCAACGCAGAGTCTACAGTAATCAGTAGCATCATGGTCCCATTTACTGGCAAAGGCCCTGATATTACAATGACTAGTAATGATTCCTGTCCTTTTGGTGGACAGAGTCGGCCAAATAGATCTTGACACATTGCAACTAGGTTCGTTGAGCCAAAGTTCATAGGCTCTTTCGTCGAAGAACGCCTTAAAGTTCCGATAAAGATAACATATTAGTGGTTTCATAGAGTCATCAATTGCTAGATCTTTAGATTGAGATACTCGCTAGTATCTCAATCTACAGATTCGCCTGCTCTTTCATTACCCATGATGTCACTGTGTCCTGGTACCCAACACAGCCGATAACCGTAAGTAAGTTCTTCCAAAGCTGTTCTACACTCAGATTTGCTTTAACATGATTTAATGGCTTTAAGATTCGCTTGACTATCAACAAAGATAGTCACCGGTTCAAAGTTCTCTGCATCCAGACTATTTATCAATTCCGCTGCTTTTCAAATAGCGAAGATTGCAGCTTGGAAAACACTACCGTTGCTATCCTGCTTGTAGGTTAACTCAAGGCCTAGTCTTTCACAGTAGACGCCAGCCCCTGTACCTTCTTCCATCTTGGATCCGTCTGTATAGAAAGTCAGACCGTCCAGAGGAGGGTTACACTGGTTCCAGTCGCCACTACTAGGAATAACGACGTCTACATCGTCAAAATCAGACTAGTGATATATAGTCGCCTAGTTTTACGCGTTGGTCCAATGTCATACCTGGTTCGTTCAAGATACAACCATGCCCAAAGGCACTACGTGCGGCCTAACACTTAATGCTGAGGCCCAGAGGCCTTAAGATCAGCATTGCGTTCAGAGCTGCTTGTGGCGTGCTCCTCAGGGTTCCTGTTATTAAAGGGAAATCCAAATGTTTGACATTTTGGAATTTGGGTCATGTTTTTTCAACCGAATTGACTTTAATTTTATATTTTGGTTTCTAAAAACTTTCTACTAAAAGTATTTTTCGTTGGTCCCTATATAACAGAGCATCCCAAATTTCGGTATTGCGCATTTTTTTAACCAAAACGGTTACATCAATGTTGGCCCAAGTATTGGGGTAGACCTAAAAATTATCAATATATGCCCTCGGTTTGATATAGCCCACATTTTTTTGAGGACTTCCATATGTTGAAGATCCTAATCCAAACTAATTTTGACAGAAAAATATATCCTCATATTAATATATTAAAAATCTTGATAATTGAGTTCGTCTATATTATCATTTTTCCTATGTCACAAAAACTATGTTCAATCTTCTCTAGTTCTACAGATCTTCACAAAAAGTGGAAAAAACGAATCCGATTCCATTTCCAAAACATTCATAAACAAATATATGTATGTCGTCTACTTTTTTATAGCCTTTACATATAGCGGCGGAAATTTTCCGGAGAATTTACGCACAGAAACGATTCATATACACTACATGTGTATTGGAATGTTGTTTGATATGATTTCATCTTAAATTTTGAATTGTACGCTAAAAAAGCAACAACAATTTAAAGACATAAACAACATATTTGGCTTATCATAATGGAAATTTTAGCATTATTGCTAGACAGTCAAACAGTATGAATGAGAAAATAATGTTTCTATTGGAATATAAATCTAAGCTTATGAGTAGGAGGTAGAAGTTATTACGTAGAGTTTATGGGTTTATAAATTTTATTTATGAGGACCGCTGAACTCTTGAATAGAAAATTTATGTCATGTTATGGCCAATACAATATGACATTATGGCCAAAGAGATTTTTAATTAAATAATTTATTTATTGAAATTCATTCCTTAACACTAAAGCCTTCAAGGCCAATAAATAGTGTTAACAATATATCTTATATTTTCTAAGTAGAACTAAAACTAAAAAATAGAAAATAATTAAAAAGAAAATAGTAAGTATAATCAAGATATAAAAACATAAACATATTGAGATCTATCACAAAAGTAAGACAAAACCAGTTTACAAGCCGTAGCCGAAAAGTTAAAATCATTCTTCAGTTTTCTTATCGAAATAGGATGAGAAACTGTATCAAAAGCTTTAGTTAGATCCGAAGACAGCTCCACGGTATTAATATTAAGATTCAAACTATTACTTATCATATCAGTCATATACAAAAGTAAGCCAGTCGTATTATGACTTTTGCAGAAAGTAAATTAGCCATTGTAAATATATTTTCTCACGTGGGACAATATTTGGATCTTCATGATCTGCTCACAAACTTTAGACAAAACAGGTAGAATGGAAATTGGCCTAAGATCAACAGGACTATTAACAATTTGACATTTAGGTATCCATTCTCCATGATTAAAAATGGAATTAATCAAATCGGGAATATAACCTAGGAAAATATTTCAAACTAAATCTACAGGTATTCATTCCGGATGAAAAATATTTGTACAGCTAATTTTCTATATAGACGCATGTTATAGCCTTATTCTCCCACATTCGTCTATGCAGAAAATGTTCAATATATGCCACCGAAGTGGTTGTAATTTGGCATTCCGTCTTCTTGGGAGTGAACAAAATTTTCGCTGAACAATTTCTTTACATGGCCCATTTTTTGCCATAGACCAATATGACGGTACCACACTATTTTATTTTTTTTACAAATCAGCTGTTATTTGTCTTTGTAAGTTCTTGGAACGTAAAAAGCATCATTGAATAACCTTTTTTATAGGATCAAGTCTTGACATATTGTTTTGGACTTTTCAAGGCCCTTCGAAATTTTGGGTTACTATTTAGTGGTAGAGTTCATAGGCACACATGTTTTATATATTAGTTGCATTTCGTTACCTTAGCTCAAAATCATATTTTTATAATTCTTTATTTTTTCCAACAGCAACTGGGGCACCGAAAATGATCCCGACCAAAGCTATCACAATGGCAATACCGATCCACGTGGATTTGGACACATTGGCATTATGGTACCTGATGTATATGCTGCCTGCAAGAGGTAAATTTTGACATTGACTATTATATACGAAATCAATTAATAATACTTACTTTTTTGTGTGTTTTCAACCTTAGATTCGAAGAATTGGGTGTTGAATTTGTCAAGAAGCCCGATGATGGCCGCATGAAGGGTTTGGCTTTCATTAAGGATCCCGATGGTTATTGGATTGAAATCTTCAATGCCAATACTGTGTGTAATTAAATTGCATTACCTTGCAAGATACCGCCTTAACCATAAATATGTCGCTAACCTTGTATATACGTATACACACACATTGATTTTTTTATAGTAAAAAAAAAACATTTCTATTTACACAATAACAAATTAAGAAGAAAATAAATAAATAAAAAACCAGTTCAAAATTTGTTCTTAATTATTACCTGTCATGCTAAGTAAGATTTCATTCATGCATTCAACAGCAGACACTTCGTGTAGTAGTGCCAACCTTTAGTTCATTCTGGCCAAATTGAAAATAAACAAAAATGTTCGAATGATAGTAGAATTTTGGCATATACACTTTTTACCTTCATGTGTACTTTTCATTCATGTTTCTTTTGTATTTGCATTGAGTTAATCATTGTTTACATGCTCAACAGGGCTGGTTTTTGAAATTTTCTTTCTAATAGGTGACAACAACAGCGTGTCAGTGTGAACAATTTTCACTCGAGTGGACAGTTGTGAAAGGAATTATAGCATACTATATTAATTGATAGATAAAACATAGGTTGAAATGTGGATTGGAATAAATCCCAGAGTAAGACATTTGAATGCAGAGCTAGTATGCTGAAAAAGAGGCCAGGAAAATAAACGTTTTTTTCTCGCAGTGTATTTAGTGTACAGGACAGATTATTGAACGGAATCAGAAGCATATCAGTTGTTGGACATTAAAAAAGAAAAATTGTAGTAAAGCCGGGATATTAAGGAAATAACTTTCTGATATTTCTTATTTCATTCACATTGAAGAAGATACTATGTAGTAGTGGACTTTAAAATAGTGCTATTATTTCGATCATTACTGTATAATTGTTAATAATGGGAATATATGAACACTTTAGCCCCATTTTATTATGAATGTTATATTAAGCTTGATATGACGAATAAAAAATACTCTACTCTCTAAATACGCGTCGAGAACTGAGGTCATGGGCAACGAAAACCACTAAATTCTACCCATGACGGTCGGTTCTATGCACCGGATTGACTCGGAGGAATCAACTTCCGACCAAGAGCTGTCAACCCAGCAAGTACATGTTTGTGTATTTTTTCAACATGGGAGCTTCATTACCCGGAATGTTTGCTGTGATTTCTTATGGTCCGGTATTGAGGCAAACCCCGGACCATGGTTCTGCTCAGTTTGTCACAACAGCATCCACCACAAATCTATCTCGGTGAGATTCAACAATGCGGAGAATGGGTACATTTCAGGAGTTGTTCCGGCCTTAGCCGTATACAGGAATAAAGCGAAAGGGACTACGTTGGCTCATGCTGCACCAATGCAGTCTCCAGCGAGTCGTCGTCATCACCGCGGTCCAAATCATCATCGTCTTCGGATTACGTGACTCCTCCGCAATCTCCGCAGCAGTAATCTGCGCCGAAGCCGTTAACACCACACATTGCTGTCGCAACTCCTGATAACATATCTTTTCTCCAATTCAACTGCGATGAACTTCGAGGGAAAATCAACGAGATAGTGGATTTTATAAGTCGCTACGATTCAGAAAACGAAGCTGAACAACACCTGCAGTCTTCAGAGTTGTAATTAGAGGTGGAGAATTAGCATTCCTATTGCACCATTCTGTCCAGTACCGACCTATCTCGCTTTAGTTAGACTCTAGTGACCCATACATTGAATTTATGGGTGTAGCGGTCAAGTGTGGTTCCGCCGAGGTAGAGGTGTTTAACGTTTACATTCTACCGTTAAATATCTGTGCCCCGCGTTATTTGCCTGACATTAGCCATCTTTTGGAAGGCAATAACAGTCTGGTACTAGGGGATTTCAATGCACATCATGAGTTGTGGCATTCCGTCATAGGTAATGACCAGAGGGGCATGGCGCTGGCTGAACAAATTGATAGCTCAACGTATTGCACGGTGAATGAGGACATACCCACCATGATAGAGAACCTCGAGAGTGACCGGGCGAAGAGAATAGAATCTCCATGGTGATGTTGAAGCAGCTTGATGAGCCAGGAGTAGAATAAAGTTCTCAGGAGTAGAGTAATAGCCACCCTAACGTCGAGAAAACAACCCTCCAGCCAAATTTGAAACGTTGGATCGTGAACTATATGTGTGGACGCCAGTCGTACGTGGAATTCAGAGACAGAAAGTCGAAGGCCCGTAGAGTTAAACACGGAGTGCCCCAAGGATCGGTGGTATCTTTGGAACTCTTTAACCTCTACCTCTCTGGAATTCCACGCCCACCGGACGGCATAAAGATCGTAACATATACAGATGATTGTACGATTATATCGCCAGGACCTAAACTTGATGACATTTGCGAGAGGCTGAACAACTATCTCGTGGATATTTCAGACTTTTTCCGGTCGAGGAATATGGAAATATCCGCCACTAAGTCAATGGCCACACTGTTTATAACATGGACAGCGGATATGCGGCTATCTTTGAATGCGCAGGTCGAGGGGTCCACAATTCCGAACACCAATTACCCCAAGGTTCTAGGGGTCACATTCAATAGGCTTTATAAGTCTTTCGCGCATGCCACAGCTATTTGCGATAAAATCAGGAGCAGAAACAAGGTTCTCAAGTCGCTAGCCGGCAGCACTTGGGGAGCTGATAATTTATACAGCAATAGGCCGGTATGTGGTAAACTATGCGGCGCCAGTGTGATCCGCTAACGTCAGTGCAACGCAGTGGAAAAATCTTCAATCCTGCCAGAATGCCGTCCTGAGGACTGCAACAGGTTGTCTCCTCATGACTCCAATAGACCACTTACGTGAGGAGACGAATATCCTTCCTGTGCGTCAACACAACAAGATGTTATCGATGCAACACATGCTTGGGTGTTATGGGAGTAGTCATACAAACCGTTACCTAATGGATAGGCAACCACTACCTAGGCATGTTAGGGAGGATTTCCATGATCTGTAGAGAGAGGTCCAAAGGTACAAAAGGGAGCCTATAGATCAACAGGACTATCAAGCAGGATTGAATCGTATTCACACGGATGCAGTTGAGGAAGCAGTTCAGGAATATCGTGTGATTACCATGCGCCTATGATAGCTGCAGAAGAGCAGCGGCTATCTCGGCAAACCAGAGTGGTTTTGGCACAACGAAGATCTGGATGGTGTAGCCGCCTCAATTCATATTGGTCACGAAATGATGGAGAGGTCGACAATATCTGCCCGGGATGTGGTAACAGACCACATGACACGCTATATCTATTCAACTGCCCAGCCAAACTCACTCACCTAACCCCATCTTTTCTTTGGACTCCACCGATATAGGTCGCAGTCTTGCTGAACTTGGAGTAAGAAAAAAAACCAGGATAAGGAAAATAGAAGAAATACAAGCTTCTACAATAACAACATGTCTAGATCGTCTCAGCTAGTCGAGATATGACGATCGGTATACTTAAAGGTGGGTCTAGGACCAATATTTCGCGGCGTTACAAACTCTTGGGGCTGCACAAAGCTATAATACCCTGACAACATAATAATAAATATAATAAATTATCAAATGATATACGGCATCAAAGCTGTTTCCATAATCTGTTTTTTATTACTTTTGAATAAAGTAGTGCAAACTGGAATCACCTCACCTGTTTTTCCCATTATTCCCATATCCTCTTGTTGTTGTATGTATGTGTGTAGGTGTTATGTCCTCCTAAACTATTTATCTCACGCTATATTAAAATTTGTACGAATATTTTGTTTACAAAAGCTGCCGGCGCCGAAAGTACGCCTGTGTTAGGACATAGCATTTGCGAACATTTAAAACTTGAAATGTGGACAGTGATGTTTGGCAGAAGTCTTCGAATCGTTTAAGAGTTTAGTTGCAATTAAAAGAAAATACCGAATATCAAAACCACTATCACACAAGAAATTAGAATGGAAATATCGGAAAACAGTCGTTGCATATATATTGTCAGTAAGATATTGGGTTTGGCCCCGTTTTCCGTAAAGAAATCCGAAAAGGGCAACTATGTCGTGGAGAAGAGTATACCGTTTATAATTTATGCAGCTGTATTGGCATCGGCAATGGGTAAGATAATAAGCGATCATAGTTGATTCAATATAGAATATAAGGTGTTCATCTTCGAATATATTATATACTTGAAATTTGAAAAAAAAAATATTTAATTAAGGGCGAAAAAGTTCTGAGATCTCTTTCTTTAAAATTCCTGTATATAGCGATGAGATGTTGGTGTATCAGGACCTTTTATTCGATAAAGAATAATATTACAAAAATATTCGGTCTAAAAAATCCCAATTTTAACCAATAAACCTTATAATCAGAAAATCATTATTATCTTTCCAGCTTTCCTAACATATCGGGGCCTACTATTTGATGCCAATTCCAAAGCACCACTGAGGTAAATAATTCCAAAATTTCTCAATGTAAATAAATTTAGAACATTGGACAAATTTGTTTTACGTAATTTCAGACAATCATTTCGCATGAAATCTATAACCTCAAAAGCCGTTACCTCAATGGATGTATCCGTAATTGTTATGGCTGTAACAGCTGGAGTTCTGTGTGGTATATTTGGATTTAGCTCTACCAGAGAATTGAATGTGCGTTTACAAAAAGTGAGGTGCTATTTCGAAACATATAAGAAAATATTTTAAAAAATGTCCAATACTGCAGGTGGATGCTTCCATTAATGGTGGCAGGAAACGGGAAACTCTTAAAGCCATAGTATTACTAATGTTGCCGGTGCTTTCTATATCCACTTTGATGTGTAAGTGAATAAATAATTTGGGATTACCATATTTTTATAAAAAAAATTGGATATTATTGAGCATGTCCTAAAATAGTTCTGTTTCATAACCTGCTAAAATCTTTTATTGGTCGAAATTGTTTTCGATTCTGTGTTTATACATTTAAAAAGTTGACAAATTTCGACGGAGGAGAGAATGACCCCTCCAGAATGAGGAGAGAATGTCACAGTTCGCCAGATTTCCATCACCTCTCAACGCCACTCTTTCCTTAATCATCGCAAAGTCAACGGACAAACTTTCAGACAGTTCAGTAATCAGCGCTTCACAGAACTCTCCATTCCTTCTGATGTATGGTAGCAGAAAGGAAATTCCGGGACATTATTGCAGCTGCAGTCGCTAGATTTACACCTGCTGGCCGAACAACCGAGATGAGACCTAATTTCACAGCAGAGGCAAGGATCCGTCAGGTTTTACATAATTCTCGTCTTGACGGCTTTAACCGTGATGCACCATTGGGCGTCGACCAACGCCCCATTGGAATAGTCCAGAGTACTTAATGAGCACCCTAGAGTAAGTCCGCCAGTACCAATTCGAAGATCTACCATAACGTCTTCAAGGACTATCTAAACCTCTGCCTTTCTATGGGTCAGGCACCCTGTTGATATTGAAACTCCACATCGAGCCCAAGCTCTTCCCGCGAAATTTCTGAGCTAACCAACTGCAACCAAATTGCAGCCAATAGGGGCTAATCTCAAATCGTCTGGCTGAAACCTCTGTTTCAGGGGCTACTGACAACCGTGGATCCGGGAAACTTCCGGGCGGTACTAGTTTCAGTTAATTTTGACTAGGGTACCAGTAACCCTTCAGACACTCATGTTTCAAAGACTCCTGATACCCGTGTCTCTGGACAAGCTCCGGCCGGTACTAGTTCCAGCCAATTTTTACTAGGGTACAAGTAACTCTTCAGACACTCATGTGTCTCCACAACACGTCTAGTCTAACGCCCATCGACGTCGGAACACTCCAACTGGAAACTCCCCGAGGTAGTTGGTCTACCAAATAAGCGTTCGTCGATTTAACCCAGTATATCTCTCGTTGGAAGTCAGCAGATTAGTGGCGGTACAGAAGCGAAATAAATATTTGGAACATCTGAAGAGTTGAGTAAACTTTGGACAACGGTTAACTCACTCTCGAAACCTGGTAAGAAGGATGATAGGACCGCAGTTACATTTAAGGACGAAACTGTGACTGATCCGTAGATATGTGCAAGTTATTTTAACCGCCAGTTTGGCGAGCATCACAAAAGAAGAGTACTACGTCGTATAAGACCTCTACCCGGCGAGGAGGTAACACTACAGTTTTCCATGGCCGATGTAGTTTGTGCTATTGGTAGCGCTAAGTGATCTAAAGTGTTGGGTTCTGACTGTATATATTTATGCTAAAACAGCATTGCGAGTCCAGAGTAGAGTACCTGACCAAATTCCTCAATTTTGTCAGGTACTCTACTCTGGTGGTCCCGCTAGGTGAATTATACAGACCGATATCATTTATGTGCCAGTAGCAAAGACTGTTGAGGCATTTATCCTCCCAAGTAAGAACCGGCCGTGACATACAACAGTATGGGTAGCGGAATAAGAAGTCCAAACCCCATAGAGCGAAACAGGGAGTTCCCCTGGGTGGAGTGATATCTCCGGAACTATTTTACCTCTACCTTTCCGGTATTCCATTGCCAGACGGCATTATGATCGTTACGTATGCAGGTGATTGTACGATAATGAGGACAAATGTGTAATGTTGAACGCCCATATCGCCGATTTTGCAGCCCCCTTCCACGCGATTGCGGAGATGAGAATGCCATTGAATGTGCTTGTCGAGGAGCGTACAATTCCGACCACTAATACCCCAAAATTCGGGGTAGTAATGCATTACTTGGCTCGCAGATAAAGGCAGATACGGTATTAGTCTTGTCTGCGAATTCTAATACTGTGCAATGGAGAAGTATTCAGACCTGTCAAAACGCCGCCCATGTGTGTCAGGAATGATTTGCGTTACATAGACAAAGAGGTGCAACGTTATAAAAGGAAGTCTCTAGTTCTAGTTGCCCAGTTGAATACAGAGTGAATGCAGTCCTCCGAGCTAACCCCCAACCATCGCAGCTATAGAACGTCAGCTGCCCAGACAAACCAGAGTAGCTTCGGTTCAATTACTTTCAGGATGATGCAGTCAATTCGGGCAACTCTAGGGAGAAGAGAACTCATACATTTTTGGCGCATAATATACAGGTTCTCGGCAGGTCACCTTACTTACTTGGCTGGCTTATGACAGTACGGTTGTTCCAAGCGCGTTGGTCTTGGGCGCATCTAATCCAATTTAAAAGACCATTTCCGAGATGTTGTCTTCTACTTGATCTTTCCATTGGATTCGTGACATGCCCTTCTCCGTGAACCATCACTTGGCTCGCTTTAAAATACTTTTAAGTGGGGGAATCCTTATTCATTACACATGTTCTAGCCAACGTAGTCGTTGCAACTCGATCCGTCTGACTATGTCGATGCCCGAAAATAGATGGTAAATGGCAGATCGGCCCATATATCTTCCGGAGAAGATCTTCCAAGAGCTTCCTCATCTGCCTTGCGCAAGTATCCATCCTTCAGATCCATACAACAGCACGGGTAATATCGGAGTCTTGTAGAGTGTGAGTTTGGTCTGGCGAGAGTTGGCCTTGCTTTTGAGCTGTTGGCCAACACTATTCTCCTCCGCATTTCAGATCTGATGTTATTAGTATATAAAATCGTTTACTACCTGGAAGCTGCAATTTTCAAGTTCCACAGTTGGTCCGAGTCTACTGGACGTCTTGCGCGTTGATACCATCAGCATGGTCTTTTCGCCATTTACTGCCAATACCACTTTGGCAGACTCCTTCTCAATTCGTTCAAAGGTGGCAATGTTCGACCCATTATGTCGATGTCGTCGGCGTAGGCGAGTAACATATGCTGTTTGGTGTGCAGAGTCTCATTTCTGTTCACATTTTCATCTCGTATGACCTTTTCCAGCAACTGTCACCTTGTCTGAATTCTCGTTCGGTATTGAAGGGCTCCGAGAGGTCCTTTCCGATGTTAACTGCAAACCAGTTAACGTTATCTTGCATAGCCGTATTAATTTTGCAGGGATGCCAAACCGAGACATGGCTTTAAACACCGCTGAACGGATAGGGCTATCGAATGGGATTTTATAGTCGACGAATAGGTAGAATGTGCCGATGTGTTTTTCGTGGGGGTTTTCCAGGATCTGGCACAGAGTGAAAATCTGGTCAATGGTGGATTTGCCAAACCTGAAGCCGCTTTGGTATGGTCCAATAATTTCATTGACCATTGGCTTCAGTCGTTCATACAGCACGCTGGATAGCACTTTATATGCGATGGGAAGGAGACTTATTCCTCTATAGTTGGCAGGGGACCTGTGTTTACAAAAAAAAAAATGGTAATTTATATTGTTTAATCCAGGGACCTTGATTTTAACCGTCCATGATTCCTGGATCAGTCCGATGTGTGTATTACTTTTAAGCTATTGTTGCCAACCCACAACTTTGCAACCCAAAGATTTCGAGCATTCCTACTATCGTGAACTCGCTGCCGCAAACTCTGACAAGGCCGCTGCTATTTGTAGTTGAGGAATGCCTCCTTTTCTCACCATCTGGATCTAAAAGGTTATAAAACATTGTCCAGAGAAAATATTACCGATAATACGTGGTATGTTTTGTGTCCAAAAAGGGGTAACATTTTTAAATTTATGAAGGGAAAATATAAAACAAATTCGATTAATTATTATTGGAGGTACTGGAGCAGTTCAATGATTTTATTACTGAAATATTTACAACAAAATATTTTTTATTAAAAATTTATTCGTCGACTCCATTGCGATAATAACCATATTTGTATACATATCTCTCCCATTTTTGCTCTTGTAACTAGTTTTCGATATTTGGACATGGTTAAGTTTTGCCGAAAAAGAAAACACCGAAGGTGAAAATATAGGTGGGCTTATAATATTCTTACTATTTTTTTATGATTGCTATAATTCTTATACCAAATTTACATTTCAGATCTAAATGCTTTGTGGTATATACCTTTTTATGGACTGTATTATATTTTGACATGTCTGCATGTGTCATTTGCCAATACTGCGTTGAGTTTGAGTAGACGTTTTAAATCCTTAAACATGACATTAAAAATGTCATTTTTAACCACCGGATTAAATGATGAACCAAAAAAGTCAAATATACCCCGAATAACACCAGTAATACCGACCAAAAGTAATGAACCACCATTGCAAATAAGTTTTACAAAAATTGCCTCTGAAATGTATCAGACACCAGGTAGGTGTAGATCATTTTCTTTTCATAAAATAAGTCGCAAACAAATCTGAATTTCCATTTTTTGCCTTTTAGAAAAGAATAAATCATTGCTGCTGAAATTATTGGCGGAATGCCACGATTCGTTGGCAAAATGTGTGGGCTTGGTATCCAGGTAAGCTTTTCAAATGAATCGATAGGGGGATGGATCCCTGTAACACTCTTTTTATATTACCAGATTTCTATTTGTCTTTTAGTTCATATGGCATGGCTGTTCTGTTTATACTCCTCTCATGTTTTCTCCATCTGGTAGCCACTTCGTATTTCCTATTTATGGAACTTTTGGAAAAGAATAGCGGTGGAATTATATGGCTGCAAGTCCTATGGATAACATTTCATGCATCACGGCTGCTCTTGGTTGTGGAGCCATGCCATCGCATAAGTGCCGAATCAAGTAAAACCATACATATCATATGTGAAATTGAAAGGGGTATCCATGATTCGATTTTGGCAGAAGAGGTAAAGCAGAATTTTATTAGAATTAAATATTAAAATATACAAATTTGTTTTATTTTTTCCCAGGTTAAAAAATTCTGGCAACAACAGCTGGTTTTTAAGGATCGTTTTTCGGCATGCGGTCTTGTAATGGTTGATCGCAGTCTTTTAACATCTGTAAGCCAAATCAACTGATCGTTCGCACAATTGTATAACTTTTTAATTTTTTCTTACAGATTTTCTCAGCAATTGCAACGTATTTGGTTATTATCATACAATTCCAGAAAAGTGACGGCTAGAATTTTGTAATCATTGTTTTTAAATAATAAAATAATAGATGTGTTTAAATTTAAATAAAACAAGAAAACCCAACGAAATTAGACAGAAAATACTGTTATCGATATAAGTTTTTGGAAAAACATACGTGGGTTAAGGCGCATTTAGACTATTCCTTCTAAATCGATTCGATTTGTAAATCGAGATATCAAATCCTAGTTCTTTATACTAGTATTAAAATGAAATGAAGTGGATTTGTCAGCTGTTATTTGTTTACGTATACATACATATTTCACTGCAAATTTTGTGCTAAGCCAGGGTTGAATTATGTCGATTTAGCATAGTATTTCGAGCAAATCGAGATATTGAGTGGATTTAATTGTGAGTGGTAAATCGAGGTAAAGCAGCGCGATTTTGCAATAATATCCCGATAAAAATTGTAGTCTAAGTACACCTTTACATATCTCACTTTGACATGATTCAGCCTCGCAAAGTTCGGCCTTGGGCCTGTCATTTGTCAGTAGCAGGACTGTCACGAAGTGGAATGTCGTAGTTGGAGATTGAAGTGGGAGGTGTAAAACAAAGCAGATTTCTGAATAATAGGAAACTTTTTGCAGAGTCGGAGAATTTGAGGTTGCAGTCAAATCTAGAGGCTAAACAGGAGAAGTAGGATCGGCACCAGGGATCTTAAGCCTGGATGTTGTCCAAAATATTGAGGGAATGAAGAATTGACAATTGTTTATAGAAGACAGTTTGCTTCAAAGTTATATAAACTTGTGCACAGCAAGATAGCTTCAATGAAGAGTTGTTCTATCTAGTTCAGTTAGCTGATCGCTCCTTTTAGTTCAGCTCTTTTGACTGAACTAGTTCGGTCTTCTAGTTGTAGTTCATTCGTTCACAATTAAGCTCTTTTATTCAGCTGTCGTTTTACTTCGGTAGTTCTTTTAATAGTTTATGGCTCTCGGAATCGTTCAGTTGATAGGTTGTGTTCTTGGAAGATTGTGATGTGTGAATAAAAACAATTTTACAATTTTGTTTTATTTATGGTGAGGATATTATATAGAAACATTTTAAAACAGTTTATGGGGATCTATAAGGTGTGGATTTTTAAAGAAAAGTTTCAGAATTATTGAAAAATTTCTTGTGAGCATAAATAATAGGCAACATATTTTATATGTTTACTAAGTGAAATCGCTGCAAATATCACATGCAAAATAAAACTCGATCGGTGCCGCTTCCATTTAGAAAAAAATCGAACTAGGTCAGTAAAACACTCACATTTTAACTAAAAGGAACGATTATTCCAGTTCGTTCTTTTAATGAACTAAAAGGGGCGACTTTGAAAGACCTAGTTCAATCGGTCTTTTAAGTGAATTGTTCATTTGAACTAGTTCGTTCGTGAACTGTACAACTTTAATTGAAGCAGTTAATACCAATGGCAATGTTAGGAAAGCCTGAATGATCCTAAATAATGTCAGAAAAATAAATTATACGATATAGATTACTTGGAATCACCTCAAGAATCAGCTTTTTGAAAATAGTTCCATGGTTTAAATAGTTCCATAGTTACAACAGAAGACGGGAATGAAATATATATACTTTGAATTTGCGTATTTTTGAATGTTTTTTTTTTTTTTTTTTTGTTAATTTGAGCACTTTGATAGGATACTAAATAATAAGGGCTCTGTCTAATATATCAAATCATGCGGTGCCCATAGCACTGTATGATGCGTTTTTGTGGAAAATTAGATCAAGGAATCTTGGAGAATAATCAAAATTGTTCCTATTCGGAAAACAAATAAGGATTTACAACAATTTGTAAAAATTTGAAAAAAATTATATTAAAAAAAAAAAATATTTCATTTTCGGAATAAATTTTGTCCGAAATGCCCAAAAAGATAACACTGGTACCTATTACGTTCTCTCCAGAATCCTTTCATGTCGTTTGAATACTTTTTAAGATATCCTGTTATAGAATCCTTTGGTATCCTCGCTCTTGAATCTTTCGTAGAATCTAGCTCAAAGGTTTCGAAGGTATCCTTTCATAACTTTTGAAGAATGATATCCTTATTACATATTATTAATGTTTTCTGCCATAGAATCTATTCGAATCTTTGCTTGAGTACTTATTAGGGTATTTCTTGGCAGAATCCTCCGGTATCCTTGCATTAATACTTATAAAGGTATTTAATAGTATAATCCCTTCGCATCATTGATTCAAATATCCTACCTACTAGGATTTTTGCTTATAGGACAAGTATTTCACCGGCACCAGATTTTCGTACTAATATTCAAGAGGAATTCTCCTAAATTGTTATCCAATAATTAGAGAGTATTCTTAATAATATCCTTTATTGGATACTTATTAAGGTATCCTGCAGTAAAACAATGATGGAAATATAAAGTTTCTCGGTGTAGAATTATTCTGTATCCTTGCATGACTATTTATTAATGCCTCTCGCATTATAATCCCCCTTCCGTATCCTTAACTGAATACTTATTAAGGTTTCTTGCGTTAGAATATCTCCTGGCAGAATCCTCCGAAATTCTTACATGAGTACTTAATAGTATAATCCTTAATAGTATAATCCATTCGTATCATAGATTCAAATCTAAATGTAAAATCATTCCGTATCCTTGCTTGAGTACTTATGTATGTCCTTTGCAATAGAATCCGTTCCAATCCTTGCTTGAGTATCCGTCCATCTATATCCATCTCATATAAGGTGCTATCCAGCGTGCTGTGTGAGCGACTGAAGCCAATGGTCACTGAAATTATTGGATCATACCAATGTGGCTTTAGGCCAGGCAAATCCAACATTGACCAGATTTTCATTCTGCGCGAGATCCTGGAAAAAAATACGAAAAACACATCGAAACATTCCACCAATTCGTCGACAGTTCAGAGGTTTTTGAAGTGATGTCTGCGTTTGGCATTCATGTAAAATTAATACAGTAGTTAAAGTAGGAAAGGACCTCTCGGAGCCCTTCAATACCGAACGAGGATTGAGACAAGGTGACAGTTTGTCATGTGACCTGTTTAACATTCTGCAGGTCATACGAGATGCAAATGTGAACAGAAATGGCAATCTGTACACCAAACAGCGTATGTTACTCGCCTATGCCGACGACATCGATATAATGGGTCGAACATTGCGAGCGGTAACAGCCACCTTTCAACGAATTGAATAGGAATCTGTCAAAGTGGGACTAGCAGTAAATGGCGAGAAGACCAAGCTGATGGTATCAGTGCGCAAGAAGTCCGGTAGAATCGGAGCAAATGTGGAACTCTAAAACTCGGTTACGCCATAAATAAAATTAATAACATCAGCTTTGAAATTCGGAGAAGGATTGCGATGGCCAACAGATGCTACAATGGTCTGAGTAAGCAATTCAAAAACAAGGCCACCTCTCGCCACACCAAACTCACACTCTACAAGACGCTGATACAACCCGTGCTGTTGAATGGATCTGAAACATGGGTACTTGCGCAAGCAGATGAGGCAACTCTTCAAGTTTTTGATAGAAAAAAATTCTCCGGAAGGTCTACGGGCCGATTTGCGTCCACGGTGAATATCGTCGTCGCTTGAACCATGAGTTGTACCATCTATTCTAGGACATCGACATAGTCAGGCATATCGGACTGCAGCGACTACATTGGCTTGGTCATGTTGTGAGAATGGATGAGGATGCCTCAGCTCAAAAGGCATATAAAAGCGAACCAACTGATAGTTTACGCACACAGGGAAGGTCATGAATTCGATGGAAAAATCATGTGGAAGACAACATTTCGGAACATGGTATTTCAAATTGGAAAGCTGCGTACAAACAAATGTTCTGTCATAATGTTCTGCAGGTGCCATCCGAACTTTATACATGTTAGATAACAAACATCTGCATAATCAATTTTCAGTTTCAGTCCATATAAGGCGTACTCTATTTGGAGGGTGTAGAAGTCAATTTCTTTCCTCGTAGTAACTTCTATAAAAAAATATCTCCATCCAAAATATGTTCTAATTTCTTAATTTGATAAAGACTTCTAATTGCCAAGGAACAGCCAAAAGGATACACGGTTAATATGAATTTAATTAAGGGTTGTCAGGATGTACAAGACATGAATACACCACCCTCTTTGAACAAGCTCAGGCAACGAAGATGAATGTAGAAGCACTAACATTCTAGTAATATTCTCTCAACCTAAAGGTTGTGTTTGTCGGAAAATGGGTCAAGTTGAATTACAACCAGAGGATATTGATGAATCCATTACAGCCTTACAAGGAGCTTTAAAACGGACATGGTGTGCCTTTTGTGCTACGACAAGTATACATGGACTGAAATATGCACGCGATGAAGATACCAATAAATATATAAGGTGGAAAAGAATTGCTTTAAAAAAATAATTTAAGTTTATAATTTATTTCGTTTACCTAGGTTCCTCTGGTACCTCATCACGGTGATTATGTTCATCTGTGCCATTGTCATGGTGTTTACCTTCTATGTGGATTATCGCAGTAACCCTACACGCATGAATGTGGAAAATGACCACGCTCCAATTGATAGCATTTTGTTTCCGGCCACCACCATTTGTCCGGAGGTCTTTAATAATATTGAAAAATCAAAGGCATATTTGGAAACCCTGTAAGTATTAAAAATCTTTTGATCTCTTCCCATACTACAAGAATCTATTAATTTTTTCGATATGGTAGTAAAAAATAGTAGGTTCTTGCAGTACGGGAACAGGTCATTTATTTCTCTTTAAAAAAAGTCATATTAAAGTGTCCTGGTTCTTAGAACTATCCCTGGTAACACCACAGTTTCGGAACTTGTATCACTCTTGGGCATCGATTATGGTTTCATGTATGATGATCGTAATTATGCTGCACGAGAATTGGAACTATTCGATGAGCTATTGGAACTTAATGATCTGGATATTTTAGATTTTGCCAGAAATATGGCATGGAATTGTAATGATTTGATATATAAGTGCAGGTTCAAGGATGTCATTGTACCCTGCGATAGTCTCTTTTATATTTCATCAACATTCAATGGATTTTGTTGTGCCTTTAATCTGAATCAATCATAGTAAGTATGGGGACACCAGGGAAGGAAAAAATGTAATTTGATCTGGGACGTGTAGAATTCCAGAATTCTATCTAGCTCTGGGATACTTCCAGAACAAATTTTATTAATATATTTTGTATTCTTAATTTGTTCCCATTTCTCTTGCAATCTTCTCTTCCCTTACAGTTACAGAGAATTCAAATTCCAATTAGCCGCTGGTGGATTCCAAAATGGCCTCTCGTTAATTCTCTACTACAACGATGCCATGTATAATAAAATCAGCTCATATTCAATTGGCTTTAAGGTTATGATTCAGGAAGCTAATGCATTTCCCAGTGCCCACTCGGCCATAAAATTCATACCCTTAAACGAAGAGGTCTTCATTTCAGTACGTCCCGTGGAGACCTTCTGTTCGAAAGCTGTTAAGGATTTGACATTTGAAGAACGTCAATGCACATTTCCCTATGAACGTCAGCTAACCTATTTTCGCAGTTATGTTGCGGCAAATTGTGAGCTGAATTGTCGCGTTACAATGATGGTAAAATTTTGCGGTTGTCATACATATTTTTTCTATAGCAATCGTACAAATGATCGGATATGCACATATCGGGATATTCCATGTTTGGTGGAAAATTTTGGTAAGTCAAAGGTTAAGTGAAAAATTAATATAACTTTGTGTGGCTTTAAGAGCTTGAAACTCAACCACGTCATATTGGCCCTAGACCAGTGTTGATCAGAACTAAATCGATAGTAAGTGTGTGAAAGAGTAACTAAGAGATCATCATCCAAAATGACTGGCGACAAGAGAAAAAAGAGAATACGTGTTTAGCTATCAACGCTTTCGTACTATTTTATGCATAAATGTCATAGATCCAGTTTTTAGTAAAACGATCGCCATATCTTGTCAATCTGAATCGATCTAGCTATGTGTGATCGCCCTTCAATCCATTATAAAATATCGATTTTTAGACTTTTCGATTTTTTCCTTTGACAAAAAAGTCGACTTTTCGATCTTTCGATTTTGTCAAACTTGCTCAAAATCGACTTTTACCGACTAATGCTAAATATTTTTCGTATGAATTGTTGTAAAAAAGTTGTGAAGAAAATCCAAAGTCGATCTTGAAAAGTTGACTTCATCTTTTAGACTTGTCAATAAAAAATGTCGACCGACTAGTCGAAAGTCAATTTACTTATCCCTAAAATGGAACAAGAACTTGCCATAGAATCTGTTTTCTTCACAGTTTGAGTAGTTATTTAATTATCTTGTTGTAAAAGCCGACTCCAATAATTCGAGAGTATAATTTTGTATAGTTTGTAATATCTTTAGAATCCTCCGAAATCATTGCTGGAGTACTTATTAAGGTCTCTTAGAATCCTCCGATATCATTGCTTGGTATTTTATTAAGATCTCTCACCGTTGAATCCTGCCCTATTCTTGCTTGAATACTTATTAAGGTCTCCTGCAGTAGAATCCTTCCGTAATCTTGCTTGAGTACTTATTACGGTATCTTGCTAGGGAATCCGTTCATGTCCTTGGTTGAGTACTTCTTATGGTCTCCCGCAGTAGAATCCATCCGTACCCTGCGTAATTACTTTTATAGGTTTCTCGCAATAGAATTTACCCGTTGAATCCTCCCATATCCCACTTGAGATCCTAATTATGACCTCAACATAACGAAAATGTTCGCGGGAAAATGGGTAAAGAATAAGATTAACTATTTTGAAGATGATCGGTCAACATTTATAGAGTCAAATTGACCAAATGTTTTGTGTGAAAATTTACCAAATTTTCATATTATGGCGAAAATGTTCATTTCAGGAAGACATGGTCCGACTTTAAATCTGATATCAAATATGTTAATGAAAGATGGAGGATATGGGTGATAGACATTTATTTCCGTATGCTCCGCTAGTTTTTATTTCAATTTCTTCAAGGACTACATTGATTCTAGTGACTCCCCAACGATCCTGCTTCGAAATAATCCTCAATTCCGGCGATCACATTCGACGACAAATTCTTCCCAGCAAGTATTCCTTTCAGTTCGGAAAAGTGGACGATGCATCCAGAATCGATGCTTAAATCATGAAATTTTATCATAGTTTTATATAAAAGAACCCATATTTTGAAGGTCTCATTCAAAATACCGGAGGGAAGTTTTCGGAGACTCGTATTCATGCTAGTTTTATTGCTTCATAAAGTCGCTTGGTTAACTCCATTTTGGCCACAGTGTTATTGATAAAGTCTACAAGTATGTTGGGCGCCAAAAAATGATTTTAACAGGTTTTTATAAGTCAAGTTTTAGGGAAATTCAAAATTTTATCCAAATTTTGATATTGCACCATATCAGTTGGGCGAACTTTTTGCAATCTCCACCATGTTCAAAATTCCTCAAATTGTTCGGTACCTTTTATGGGGTCTATGTTATTGGAAATTGTCAAATATAAAATAATAGGCAGCCAGGTTGAAATGAACCCGAAAAGTTGAACCATTAAACGTGTTTTTTTATTTATTAGAAAAAAAAAACGTAAAAATTCCACAAAGGAGGTTTAACCATATGTTAGATTAAAGAATGATGAATGTATTAGCAGCCGTATCACTTGGGGACACTTGTCCATTGTGCTCATCCTGGGTACCAGAGAAAATGGATAGAAGAAGTTTATAAAGAGTAAAATTTTTGCTTATTTTAGCAATGTCAGGATTTTAACAAAGCTAACTATCTTTTGTGATCTATTCCGGCGAAGAAGGCTATAGTATTAATTTCATATTTTCCAAACAGTAGATGCCTTCTGCAACATGTTCGATGGGCATTTACAGAGTATATGTTCAATTGTTTCCAGCTCTTCCTCATCCTTATATAACTGGATGTTGTACAGATCCCTCAATCGATAGATTGGAAGACTGCCAACACCTCGGCTATCTCATTCCCATCTATGTTGCTGTGTCCAGGAACCCGACATAAGTTAACTTTCTGTCGTATATCATATATGGATAAGTAAATCGACTTTCGACTAATCGATTAATCGACTTTTTGTATAAGTCTAAAAGTCAAAGTCGACTTTTGATCTTTGAGAAAATTGCAAAGTCGACTTTTCAAGATCGACTTTCGATTTTCTTCATAAATACTTGGTTTATCATCACAAAGCCGAAATTGCCCTAAGATTAAAAAAAACAGGTATGACAAAATCGAAAGATCAAAAGTCGACTTTTTCGACTTTTGATCTTTCTACTTCCTTGCATTAAACACCTGCACAAGTCCTCTAGCCTTCCTCCATGTTCCACACGTATGTGTATATTAGCATAACAGACAGAGGTAAGGATCCACTTGCTCGGAAAAATCTACTCCAAAGAAGGTTTGAACTTTCTAAGTACCGAAAATTGCAGGGATACAAAACATGGACATGTATTGACATTTTGTGCAAAGATGCTTATCGCCCTCATCTAGAATGTCAAATTGCAACCATTTCTGTTAAATAATGAGTTTAAAATATTTAAAAAAATCGGAAAATTGGAAAAATAACGAAATATCGCAGTACAAAACATCCAAAGCAATTGCAATATATGTGCACACTTTCATCTTATCTCTATATTATATATTGCGAACTCTATCGTGATTTCAACAGAGAGATAGACAGAATTATAGCTAAATCTTCATAGTTATTTATTTGGTCCAGAAATTTATCGAATTAAAAATTTATGGAATTAAAAACAATCACTCAATTGGAATGACCTCAAATTTTCTTTATTTAATTACCACAAACTTCCGAAGGAACCAGTAAGGGAAATTCAACAGTCGGACGGGGCCGACTATATGATACCCTTCACCACTTTGGGTACATATCTACAATATCCTGTAGATAGAACAGACATAGAATCTTTGGAGGACTATTGAGATGGAATCGAGCGAAATTAAATGTGTTATCTAGATAGATATTTTAACCCGTTGAAAATCCCCCATACACATAACATTCTGAAATCAATGAAAATTGCATGTCAAACGGGCAGATTTGGATTCTTTGGTGTACCATTTGTATTAAATCGAGAACAATTATGTATGGGAGCTATATAAACACATGGACCTAATTGAGCAACCGTTGAATACACCATTTGTTTTTGTTATCACTCTAAAGTCTATTTAATGCCATTTGCCAAATTTACTTACCATTTACTTAAAATCGTACAAAAATATATATAAGACCTATGTCAAAATCTGAACCGATTTTAACAAACCATAGCACACATCATTTTTCCCCAATTGCATTCGCTATGCAATATTTTGATCAATCGGACAAATATTGGGAGTTTGGTGTAACATTCACAAAAAATCGGACGAAACTATATATGGGAGCTATATCTAAATCTGAACCGATTTTAACAAAACTTCGCAGACATCAGTCTGGACCTAATTCAGTACTCTGTGCACATTTTGTCCCAATCGGACAAATATTGGGAGTTTGGTGCATCATTCACCTAAAATTGGACGAAACTATATATGGGAGCTATAACTAAATCAGAACCGATTTTAACAAAACTTGGCATACACCAATATAGACCTAATTCAGTACTATGTGCAAAATTTTGTCTCAGTCGGACCTATATTGGGAGTTTGGTGCACCATTCACCAAAAATCGGACGAAACAATATATGGGAGCTATATATAAATATGAACCGATTCCAACAAAACTTCGCATACATAAGTATGGACCTGACACAGTACGCTGTGCAAAATATTGTCCCAATCGGACAAATATTTGGAGTTTGGTGCATCATTTATATAAAATCGGACGAAACTATATATGGAAGCTATATCTAAATCTGAACCGATTTTCTCCACTTTCAAAAGGTTTCGTCCTTGGGCCAAATAAGTGAACTGCCAAATTTCATTAAAATCGGATCATGAATGCGACCTGTACTTTGTTCACAAAAATACATGGACGGACAGACAGACGGACATGCATAAATCAACCCAGAAAGTGATTCTATGCATATTCTCAAAAGGAACCATGGGTCTATCTCGATACCTTTTGCCTGTTACAAACATATGCACAAAGACATAATACCCTGTACCACATTGTGGTGAAGGGTATAAACATTTCGTAATTTTAAACTTAACTTGTTTGTTTCCATATTTCCAGCTAACATAATTGGCCGTTTGAAAAAGAATCAATGTCCATGCGTGAATAGCTGTGAAAAGGTGGAGTATAATGTCCAGGCTACCAGTGCCAAGTTGGATTTAAATATCGATTCTATTGATGAGTTCTAGTAAGTATTAAATTCAGAAAAATAATTTTTTTTTAGTTAAAAAAACTATTGCTGAGATCTTATTTTTTCTTTTGTTTAATTCTAGCGACGGCCTTAAAAAGGATTATTCTGTAGTTCACATTTATATGAATTCGGAAGTGTATCGGAGAGTTCGCCACGATTTACTATCGAATATGGTGACATTGGTTTGTAAGTATAATTATTGGGATTTTATATAAAGTAAAATTATTATAATTTTACTTAGGAATCTTCATAGACTTACAGATTGTTAGAAATAATTTTTGTCTCTTTTCTTTTTTCAGCAAATTTGGGTAGTGCTTTCAGCTTATTCGTAGGCATGAGTATGGTATCCGCTGTGGAAATTGTGTACTATTTTACTGTTATTTTGAAGAAATTCTATCGTCAGGAGAAAAATGCCCGAGAGAAATTATTTAATCGGAGAAAGGAGGAAGCAGAATCCCGCGAAAATGTTCAAAATAATTAATACTCAATAGTTGTATTGATATTTGATTTTTTAAATATATTTTCTGAAATCAATAAAACATTAAAATAAAATTCGTTATCGCACACTCATTATTTTAGTTATATTATTGAACTAGATCTCAGTTTTAGACCTAACACCATATCAGCTTAGGAGTATGAAAGAAAGCCTGCCTCCAACGTAGAAGAAAAGTAAAAAAGTTGCCCAAAATTGGTGACTTGAATGATTATAACAACTGGAAAGGAGTAACCCTACTCAAAGTCATATACAAAAATAAGTATAAAACATTTTGAGAGATGAACATGCTGGCTTCAGACTAAGTAGAATCTGTGTGGACCAACACCCTACGACTTACAATAGAACATCGACTTCAAACAGGCTTCGACATCATCAAACGAATAATAAAACCGATATACTAGCATGCAGAACTCTCAGTTCTTAACAACGGGAACGTAAGCCAACCGTTTCTACCCCACACTGGAGTAAATCAAGGATGACCTCTGTCACCCCTACTGTTCCTAATAGTACTGGATTAAGTAATGAATGAAGTCTGCTCTCAGAGAAGAGGCATAAACTAATATAATGCGGACTAGCGAAGTGCCCGCTACTTGGTATGCGGAAAGGGAATACAAAACATTTATTACTTCCTCTATTTTACACTACAACAGTAATTTTATTCATAAATATCGGCATCACAGCCCCATCGGTTTACATAGATCCAAATTATACCATATTTAGTACTTTTCCTACTTATAACTCTATCCTGTACTCTAAGAGTAATCTAAAAGTAATTCCAAATATAAGTTTTCCATCTAAATTATACCAAATTTAGTATCATCAACAACAACCCACACTCAAAATTTCAAGCTTCTAGCTTCAGCCGTTTCGTCTGGGCGGTGATCTGTCAGTCACTCACTTAACACTAAGCTCTTTTATATATTAAAATTATATAATAATGATTCTTTATTTACAATTTTTCATTTAATACAGTTTGAATCTTTGATTATTTATACATATATTGTAAAACAAGAAAAAATAGTGTTTGATCGACAATGGTTATTTATTAACCGTCTGTCATTCTTTGAGTTTTGATTTTATAACGAATTATACTCGCTTATTAGTAATCCTCTATAATTTAAGGATGTTTTCAAATAAGACACGAGCTTATTCCAATGATTTGCCTCACGACCATCCAAAATGTTGACCATATCTTCCTCAGACAGTGTCGCAGCATGGAAAATTCTCAATCTGAATTCTTTCAGAACTGGACATTCTCCCAGAAAATGGAACAAGGTTTCATCTTGATTTGTATTACATAAGGTGCATTTTCTTCCCCTGCTGTCAATGTCGAATCTTGTCGCATTCAAATTTATCATTCCACACCTTGCTTTCAGAATCCATGAAATTTGGTCGCTAGTAAAGGAATCAGTAAAATACAATTCTCCTCTAGAAAAATCTAAAAATTTGTATATTCTGGTTTGGCTTTCACCTTTCAACCTTAGATTTTCCTGAAATATATGCAGCTTTTCGGAGCTAATAATATTTGAAGTAAAAAGTTTCCATTCAAACTCATTTGCAGTATTTGGCCATTGAACATTCAATCGTTGTGCTAAATTCTTTATGTTTGGTACCCAGAGTACTTCATTTTGAAGCAACAAATTGTGTAAAATTATATTTGTCGCCTTTCGCACAAAATATTCAACATAAATTAAAAATTAAAAAACCTGGAGAGACTCTTCGCAATGTTGGGCTTGAGATTATAATCTAGACAAAAATTAACAACACAAGTAGAGAATACATCATGTATACTACAAGTCCAAAGCGAGAGTAGCATTCTAACGACTGCAAGGTGTATTGAGAACTTCATATATATATATGGGCAATATTGCCAATTTTTTAATATTCCATTTTCAAAAAATCAGCTTTTTTGTTTTTGTGGCACATCAATGATTTTTGGTACACATATAGAGAAAAATGTTCTGACTCCGAAACCGTTCGCGATCAAATATTTGGTTGATGCGCGCAAAATTTATAGAGGTTTTAATTTTGGGTATAAGAAAAAAATCTTAAAATTACGCCGTTTATTATATTGACCAAAAACGTTGATATATATCTCCCTCCGTAAAATAAGAATATGAATATATTATAATAATCACGATAATGTTGCACATATTCGCGAAATATGAAAAAAATAAAAAAAAATATAGCAGATTACATCAATATTTTCATTATATTAATTACATACACACACATAAAAATTAATTTAAAAATATCTACATAATCTAAACACCATGGTGAATCAAATGATATCAAAATCACACAAGTCCGTGTAGCGGTTTCTAAATCACAGCGACAACAAAACAAGATATTGAGGAAAAATGCATATTTGTTTTTGGTTCGAAAAAATAATGTCATCATATTTATTTTTTTAATTTTATACAAGAAATTTCAGAAAAAAATGTTGGTGTTATTCTGCTATTTTACCCGAATTTCGCCGAAAAAATTGACATATATAATAATAATCACTTTTTGTGTATAAGTATACGCCTTGCGGATTATATCAAGACCCTTCCGATAAATCTTAGAATTATATAAATAGGAATAAATCTTAAAAAAAATAATATTATGAAATATACATTTTAAATTGTGTCTAAATCGCGTAATTATCAAAATCATTTGATGCGCATGCGGTTTCAAGGAAGTACTGAAGTTTATCTTCAAATCCATATATATTTTGCGAAGTTTCATTTGGCGGCTAAGATGTGCCACGCGTTACATTGAAGTACCCAACAAATCGTAAAACGCGAATAATTTCCGAAAACTCCATATGCCATTAACGCGCATCGGATTTCGGTGTGCACCCTAAAAAAATACATCGATCTATATCGATTTCAATGTGGTGCATTAAGAACCATGGATGTGCCAGCTCACACTATTTTTGAGATAAATTGGGTACATCTCTCTTCCGGCTGAAATTTTTAAAGTTCTCTTTTCGAAAAAGATCAAAATCCGTATGAGGTCATTTATTGAAGCGGAAATGATACACAGAAAACGCAAATAAATCCGCGATATTTTCAAAAACATTTTTTGCCAAATTTCGTGTTTTTGGAAGGCCAGTTCCCGCCGTTCTAGTAGATGGATTTTCACGAAGAGGATTTTATATCATCCGAAACGTAAAAAACATTATTGATCGCGGGTACTCATATCATTCAGTTGACAGATCTAAAAATTTGGCCCGAAAAATAGGTTTTTTAGAAATTTGATCGCACAAAATTCGCACCTTCGGATGAATATTACTCTGAAGCTGTGCATACTACATACACAAAATACATATCAAATTACGCAGATTCGCGGCTACAATAATCTTATATTCGATTTTTATAAATTCCTGTTTGCGTATTAAAACGTATTAAATGTCAGCATCATTTAAAGGTAGATGCAGTTAAAATGTTGAAAAATGATACATAAGGGGCGTAGTCCCCATTTTGTTGGCTTCTAGGTTTATTTTGACACGAAGACCGTGCAATGAGTGGCTTAGTCACAAATCGATAGAGAACATAAAAAAACTGGTTCGCCTCAACCTGTTTTTACACATTTTTTTAAATGTTGTAATGAATTCTGTTTCATAGTTCATTTTTCTCAATACTTTCACATTTGAAACGAAGGCTGTTCCTGGACCTCCATTGCGTACAGGAAGACTGACCAAACATATCCTTTAATATAGCGAATCTTCGCCTTAAGTTTTTTTGTACTTCAAAAATGCATGTCTTGCTCATTCAATTCGATCTCTTTTCCTGGATATGGTTCACTGGATATTTGAGGTGTTTTAGCGACCTATGGAAATACTACGCACGGTTCTTTCAAATATCTTAAAACTTATTGCACACTTTCAATCACTATTATCGTCCATCGTCCTCTACTACAACACCCACAAATTACGAAAATATAGTTTCTTTTTCTGACCACGTTCCCTGCGAGTTCGTATGAAATAAATATGAGCCTCACAATTTCCAAAAAACGCAAGTTTGTTGCCGATGGCATGTTCAAGGCTGAATTGAACGAGTTCTTGACTCGTGAACTCGCCGAGGATGGTTACTCCGGTGTTGAGGTACGTGTGACCCCCGCCCGTACCGAAATCATCATCATGGCCACCAAGACCCAACAAGTTTTGGGTGAAAAGGGTCGTCGCATCCGTGAATTGACCGCTATGGTCCAAAAACGTTTCAACTTCGAACCTGGCCGTATTGAATTGTACGCTGAAAAGGTCGCCACCCGTGGTTTGTGCGCCATCGCCCAGGCTGAATCTCTCCGTTACAAGTTGACCGGTGGTTTGGCTGTCCGTCGTGCCTGCTATGGTGTCTTGCGTTTCATCATGGAATCCGGTGCCAAGGGCTGTAAAGTCGTCGTCTCCGGTAAATTGCGCGGTCAACGTGCCAAGTCCATGAAATTCGTTGATGGTCTTATGATCCACTCTGGTGATCCATGCAACGATTACGTTGAAACCGCCACCCGTCACGTCTTGTTGCGTCAAGGTGTCTTGGGTATCAAGGTCAAGATTGTGTTGCCTTATGATCCTAAGAACAAGATCGGTCCCAAGAAGCCATTGCCCGACAACGTTTCTGTTGTTGAACCTAAAGAAGAGAAGATCTATGAAACACCCGAAACAGAATACAAAATGCCTGTTGCTGCTCGCGTGCCCATCGGTGATGAAGCTCCTGCTTATTAAGAAAAAAAATGTGTAAGGGTCAGTGATGTTTTTGAATATTTCAAAAAATAAACTTGCAGATATGAAACGTTTTTATTTAACAAGATAAACTTACAAAAAAAAAAAAAAAAAATCGTTCTCGTTTTGGATATGCATGTTTACTCTTCACTTTTAAAAATCTAATGAACACATATTCCTTGTTTATGCCCCCATTGACGTCAAATATTTGATTTAAACATAACGTGTCATGCCCTGTCCACATTTCGAGTGTAAAATTATATACCCGGCTTGGTAATTAATTGCTAATTTGTTTTTCTAATATCTAGCATTTTATTTTGCATTAAATAGTCGACTACAGACTCTGCGAACAGCATGATTTACTGTGTGTGGGGTTTTCAAGAGACTTTAGTACTACAATGAATTATTCACAATATATTACCGTTTTCTAAACCCATACATGAGCAATGTTTCATGATACCGCATTTGTAGATAAAATATTTCTGATAATTTGTATAAAAAATGCTCTAATATTTGAAACAGAATATTGGAAAAAATCAGAACACTTATACAATTTTTCGCGTAAATATGGCATAATAAAGCACCTGTAGAGTTGTATTTTTCCTTATCGTCTTAACTAATGATATTTTTATTCCATACCTTTCATTGCAACACTTAAGGCTGTGGTTGGTTTATCTCATTGAAAAAAGTCATGTATTGTGATTATTAAGCGACCCAAGGCTATGAGATGCACTGGGAAAGTCCGCCAATTGGCTCCTGTTTTAGACGCGTGTTAACAATAAAGTGGGAAACAAATACAGGGATTCAGGCCTGGCCTGTTAAGTTGGCTTTGTATGAAATGTCAATTTATAAAGGAATATCAGAATCAAGCTCGATTTTGGTCGCTGTTCTCCTTTATTCTTTTACAATAAAATAAGCCAACTTAGCATGTCAATCCTGAAGTCCTCTTATGTGTTTCCCCCTTTATTTCGAAAGGCTTAAATTGAAGAGTCATTGGTTGCCGTCTGGCCCGATGAAGGTTTATCAGGATGGCCTCAATCTATTTTTGTTGCAGGGTACTTCTCCCTTGGTGCTTTTTGTAGCTTTCACCTCTCCAACGCTTGCAATCCAAATCTTGAAGTGTATAGCGTTGGACACGTAGTGCATCTTCCCCTTAGTTTTGGACAGACTTGCCATTGAAGACCAGCCCGAACCTACCTACCACAAGAAGAATCCCTTCTACGTTCTCCTCCCACTTCTTCACCAGCAGTGTCTTGTTTTACAGACCAAAACCTTCGAACCTGACAGAGACTGTTGCCTTTTCTAGTTGAGGAATGTGTATTTTCCGTGCCAGCTTGAGTATGTATCAGGTCTCGAATTCTTCCCTTGAACTGGCAACTGTCCAGATCGAGGAGGAGACAACCTTGCAGCAGGCTCTCCACGATTCTTTTTTAGTTTACCGGACGAACTATTCTCGTGGATCCCTGTAAACTTCACTAATTTTCTCAGGTCTTCTGTGCTCTCTCAGGTCTCGAATTATTCCCTTGAACTGGCAGCTGTCCAGATCGAGGAGGAGACAACCTTGCAGCAGGCTCTCCACGATTCTTTGAAAGAAAAAAAATCTCTGAAAAATCTGTGTCGACGGTGAATATTGGCGTCGAATGAACTACGGTGGCTATGCCATGTTGTACGAATGAATGAGAATGCCCAACTCAAAAGGCATATAAAAGTGAGCCTACTGATGGTTCACGCAGAAGGGGAAGGCCACGAATTAGATGGAAAGACAAAGTAGAAACAACATCTTGGAACGTGGTCTTTCAAATGAGAATGCCCAACTCAAAAGGCATATAAAAGTGAGCCTACTGATGGTTCACGCAGAAGGGGAAGGCCACGAATTAGATGGAAATACCAAGTAGAAACAACATCTTCGAACGTGGTCTTTCAAATTGGAGGAGATGCGCACAAGACCGACGCGCTTGGAAAACTAGATCCCTGTTTAACGAAAATATTTCTCCAATACACAAGAAACACGCAGCAAGACATTTAAACCATTTGGTACAATAAATATTAATCTTAGAATGGTATTATTTCAATCCTATTAAATATTTGCACAATCCTCCAAGGGTTAAATATCTCTCACAATTCCCTTCCTCCTAGCCTGTTTTGTTATTTCCGTACGTGTGAATTACTATCTACTTCATAACTTTCGAAAACATGCAATTTGCAAACATGACAAGGATACGAATGTTTTTTATTTACCCCGACAAAAAACCCGGACAATCTACAGGCGATTGCATGCAGAAGTAATTGCGGTCTTTATGTGAAAAGTGCACGAGTAAATAAACCAAATAAATAAGCGAAACATTTAGAAGAATAATCACTTCAAAAATGGAAATATCTGAACCCTCTATTAGTATATTATTTCTTAGTAAAGTTTTTACTTTGGCCCCCTATTCTCTACAAAAGAATGCCAAAGGAATTTATATTATTGACAAGAGTGTACCGTTTATATTCTATTCATCATCGATAATTCTACTATTGGGTAAGGTTATAAAGAAGCAGGGGAAAGACTTGAGAGATGCTTGGCTTTAGGGGGTGTGGTCAAAATTAATTGCGTCGTATGTCAATATACGAAGTAATTAACTACCGATGCAATATCAGCATCGAAAGCTTCTACAAATTGACAAAATGACGCATTAGTGCAGATAGAGGAACTTAAATTTCACAATAATATTGCTCATAAAAATTTTAATAAAATTACATTTCAAATTTGTTATTTCTATAAAAACTAAATCTACTTTTCTCAAAATTCCCACAGTTTTCCTTACTTATCGCGGTTTGTTATTCGATGCCAATTCGAATGTACCCATCAGGTTAGTTCTTCGCAAGTAATTTTCAATTCTACGAAAATGTTCTTTTTATACGATTTTTAGAATGAAGACAGCCACTTCGAAAATCGTTACAGCTTTGGATGTATCGGTGGTAGTTTTGGCATCGGTTGCTGGAGTATTTTGCGGCATTACTGGTTTAAGTACCACCCGAGAACTTAATGCACGGTTGCGAAAAGTGAGTAAGCCCCTAATGTATTTTTATATATTATACGGTTTCTAATGCGTTTCATAAAATTTCAGGTTGACGAAACTATTAATGGATTTAAGGATGTGAAGAGAGAACGCACCAAGGCTCTGATTTTGCTTATAGTTCCCATGCTGTCTATAACAATTTTATTGGGTAAGATATAACAAAAAGTCCTTGCTATTGAAAACCGTTAAGATTTCTTCGAAGAACGCGAGGTATACTCATAGAAGAATTTTAGGTCTTATTAAAAAGCCAAAGTTCTTCTTTAAAAGGTCAAAAAGTATTTTACTAGAAGGTATTCTTATATTAGGCCAGAATGTCTTCTTGTAGAATGCCAGAAGGCCTTGTTTAAAAAACCCGAAGTATACTTTTATTTGACCAGAAGTTCTTCTTCTAGAAGGCCAGAATTTATTCTTCTAGAAGACCAAGCAGCCTTCTTATAAAAAAAAACAGAAGGTATCCTTTATATTACTCAGAGCACCTTCCTTTAGAGTACCGTTCTGAAAGTTTATATCGATCCACCTCTAATATGCTACTGCATTATTTCCACTAATCTGTTTATCCACAGTTTCCATGTGTTCTTCATGTTGTCGCACTTCCGGCAGGATTTAATATTTTACCACAGCTTTGCTCTTATATTGGTGGACCACACTCTCGACGCATACTTGGCGTTCCGTCATTTTACATGTGGTCAAAAGAATTTCTTGTTGTTGTTATTTTAGCAGTTTTTACTGCTGTGTACTTTTTTGCTTAAACCGTTTCCGCTTCTGACTCCAAGTTCAACAGCTGTAGGGTGTCATAGACCAAACCTGGAAAACAGACATTCACCATGTGATCGATTGGCGCCGAATATGAGATGAGGAGGCTATACCACACTGATCTCAGTAGATGACGGAATCTGTGGCGGGCATTTATCGACGATTGTATTCACCCTGTATTCTTGATTTTCTTCCTAAACTGTATCAGTGTGAATACAATTCAATCCTGCGCGATAGATTCTCTTTTGTTGTTCTGATATGCCTGGGCGGAGAATACCTATTTATAAGGTGGTGATTCGGATGGCTGATACTGTAAAATTCAAGAATACATTGCATTGACAACATCTAGCTGTCTTGACGCACTGAAAGGATTTTCGTCTCTTCATGTAAGTGATCTATTAGAGTCATGAGGGGATACCCTGCTGCAGTCCCCAAGGCGACATTTACTAACATTGGCGGACCATACTGGTGCCTCAAAGTTTACGACAGACCGGCCAGATTCAAAAATGCTGGGATTTATACCGGTTGAAGAGGTGTAACGTTTCATGTGCACCATTTCCACATGCCGGGCAGATATTGTCCACCGTGCCATTAATTCGTGCCCAAAATGAATTGAGGCGACTACACCATCCAGATCTTAGTTGTGCCAAGACCACTCTGGTTTGTCGAGGTAGCTGCTGATCTTCTGTTGTTGTCGTAGGCTGTTGTTCGCTGGCCTCAACTGCATCCGTGTCAATCCAACTTAATAGGCTGGCGCCATGAACGTAAAATCACCCGCGTACATAACGATCATTTTGCCATACGATAGGCGCGAAATTTCAGAAAGGTAGAGTTTAAACAATTTCGGAGATATAACCCCTCCCTGTTTGTTTAGTCGTTGTTGATGCTGGTGCGCATCATATTGCGGCCACGCTTAAGCGGGCCACACACTTCAAACATGTACGTTTAATCGGTGTGAAGCTGATGGTCCACAAATGAATCAACAAAGATTTATTTCGAATTTGGTGTTTAAAGAATGAAGAAGGTCAGCGATAGTGACGACGCAAAAAATACCGATCAGTTTTATTTACTTTATTTTTTTAATTTATTTCCCACCGATGGAAAGCACATGTTTAACGTGTGTGGCCCGCTTTAACTTTGTGTGCTAGTCTCACACATACATTAACAAATTGTCATCCTCTCACCGTGTGCATCACTAGAATCATTCTAGTGTCAGACTTCTTATTCTAGGGTCAATAGGGTTCATATGACGAAGCTCATAATGCTCGTTTGCAAATCCCGCTGGCTCTTGTGGTAAGTTTGGTTCTAATTCTCGTATTCGACTTGCAGATATATAACGAACGCCTACATGTTCCAAAAATTCCTTTTTGGATTGGGCAGAAATTCATTTTCTAGCCGTTGATTGACGAATTCTCAGACCCCTTGCCAATCTGGCTTTCACATAGTTAAGAATAGTACCACGTTCAGATATTATAAAGTCGGATGGTCAGTCATCTGTCATTATTTCGAACGGGGTGGCAAAATTCATGGTGGACATTGAAATCACCTAACACCATACGATTATTGACCTACAAGAGAAGGTCAGTACTACTTGTTATAATTCTAACAACCTCGAAGACTGTAGGTATTATTTAGCATTGTTTCTGGTATATCTAGGGTCAATCGCGCTATTGTATTGGTATAGCCATATATAGCTATTGCTTGTATTGGTATCGTCATATAATGGCGCCCAACTATTTGGTCGATGTTATTATTATAATATATTCTTTTTTTATTCTTTTCATTTTAGGTTTGGATATTGGAACATGGCTTCGCAAAGCCGCCTCCATGAAAATACACGAAGACGATGAAACAGGTATGAGGATTTTTTGGTTTCTTGAACATAACGATATTCCTACATATTTTTAAATGAAGATATACAACCAATTTCAGATATGAACATCAAATGGTATATACCATTTTATAGTTTATATTTAGTGTTAACCGTTTTGCATATATCCTTTGCCAATACGACATTTGGTCTGTGGACACGTTTCAAGGGTTTAAATTGTTTATTGCGGACATCATTCCTACCACATGTTCGTGTCAAAGAACCACAATTGGCAAAAAATCCAAAAATTACCACGGTCAAGGCGAATTCAACGGTGAGCAGTTCGTCATCATCGCTGGCATCGGAGAGTTATCAACAAAATGGTTTGGAAAAATTGAGGTTATGTTTTTGGATTTTAAGAAAAATTGTTAAGTTTTCTATTTTTTTCCAACAGGGAAAACCAAATCATTGCTATTGAAATTGATGGCGGAGACCCATGAGTCCTTGGGTAAATGTGTTAAATTGGTATCAAGGTGAGTTTTTATTTTTTTAATATATAATTGTTAATAAATTTGTCTTAATCTCCATTAGCTATTATGGTATGGCAATTCTGATTATACTTGTCTCGTGTTTCCTACATCTCCTGGCCACTGCTTATTTCCTTCTAATTGAGCTATTCAGCAATAATGATAGTGGTTATGTTTGGCTCCAAATTCTGTGGATCTTTTTCCATGCTCTACGCTTGTTGGCTGTGGTGGAACCCTGCCATCGTTTAACTGTGGAATCTACACAAACTATACATATAATTTGTGAAATTGAACGTACCATACATGATTCCATATTGGCTGAGGAGGTGAGATGTTTTAGAATGAATTTGGATGTATTTAAATGTTTTAAAAATATGGTTTCCAGGTTAAAAAGTTTTGGCAACAATTATTGGTTTATGAGCCTCGATTTTCAGCCTGTGGCTTGTGTTTGGTGGATCGAAATATTTTGGCGGCGGTAAATTCCCAGCCTCTCCTATTAAATTTGAGGACTACAAAATTTAATTCTGTTCTAATTTATTTTAGATGTTCTCTGGCATTGCAACATATCTGGTCATTCTAATACAATTTCAAAAATCTAATGGGTAATTTACGTGTTATAAAAATATTTGTATACTTAGTAAGGCTTTTGTAAACAATAAAATCTTATTTAATAGAGATTTCATTCGGCATCAGTTCGTGTTACTTCTCTACAGATAAAGCTTCGCAAATGCTGCTAAGTTAAGTACATGGAGGATTTCGTACTTTGTTCTTAGTTTATATCCTTTCCAAATCATATACTTTTTCTTGTCTGAAGTTGGGGAAATGAGCGAAAGAGGGGAACATTCAGAAGCTACATTTTTCAGGATAGGGCTGGTCTAAGAGAAATGACGTGGCACTTCTTTACCTATATTAGCATAGTCTGAAAATTTTTTTTTAATCTATGGTTGGAATTCTCTATAGAAACAAGGAAATATTCGCATATGAAATCAGAGGTTATTTCATAAATAACTGCAATGTCTACTGAAATCTATTTGGCAAGTAATCTTTATGAGTAGACCTATGTGTAGGAATGATTACAGTGGGGATCATCACAGGTCATTACAGGATATTGTCTCTATCTGAAATTAATGAAGTCAAACTTTGATGAAACAGATTGGTCATCTGTTTCATCAAAACTCTTCTAATATTCCAGAAGATCATAGAAGATAAAAAGGCTTTTATATGGCTTTTGAGCTGGGGCATACTTATACATTCTCTGCAGCTCGATGCGCCTAACTATGTAGATATTAGTGTACAGATGATGTAGCTAATGGTTCATTTATTCACCATCGACGCTGATCGGCCCATAGATCTTTCGGATAATTTTTTCTCTCAAACAAGACCTGCCTTATCTGCTTGCACAATACCAATATATTATCAGTATTATCAGCGTCTTGTCATCGGCGTAGGCGAGTAATGTGTGTTGTTTGGTGTACAGAGTGTCATTTCTGTTTGTCTTTGCATCTCATATGATCTTTTCGAGCAGGATGTTAAATAGGTCACACGGCAGGCTGTCACAATGTCTGAATCCTCATTCGGTGTCGAAGGGTTCCTAAAGATACTTTTCGACTTTAACTGTTTATTTGCCGTAGCAATGGTATATGGTCTAAAGTATAGGGTTTCAGGAATGCCGACCGCAGACATGACTTCGTTTCTGAGAAATTCGATTGTAAATGTATCAATAGATATCACTAAACTATGTGTTACTGTTTGACTCTTAAACTCAGAAAAAAATTATTGGAACGCTAAACGATAGTTTTCCGAGCTCAACGAAATTGGCAGAACTAAGAGAGGAATACTACCTGTTATGTTAGGGATGTACGCTTGTTAATAACAACCATTCACTCTGAGACAATTGTCTCAGATAGTTTTCCGAGCTCAACGAAATTGGCAGAACTAAGAGAGGAATACTACCTGTTATGTTAGGTTAGGGATGTACGCTTGTTAATAACAACCATTCACTCTGAGACAATTGTTAATTGTGATCATCCTTGATACCTGAAAAGAAAAGTTAAAAGAAGAGAGAAAAAAAATAGTTGTAGAGCCTAGAAGATGGTTATTTTTTTTTTTGACAAAGCCTTGGATCTGATTGGGGTCTATTTTGGAGAAGAATGTTAGATTATCAATTTCATATCTTTCAAACTGTTTGGGTCTTCTGCCATTCAGCGATGGACATCTACGTCATCACTCGACAATAATCCTCTCCGTTGGAGTCCCATTTCGAAGTGAGGGATATAACTTGCAGTGACCTGTTATGAACCCCACAATGATTTTGATATCTCTCTTATTGTTGTTGTTGTTGTTGTAACAGCCCTATTGCTTTTACACAATGGGCTGAGGTGACAGACGTTGGCCGAGTATAACTCGGGTCGTTTCGGATCGTAGACCCCTCTGTCTCTCTTATTATGTGACAACAGCGAAGAAGTTCTTCGGCCAGAGAATTCAGGCCAGATAGCTTTTGAGATTCTGCAACCAAGTTCTCTCGACCATCTGTTGCCGACTACTTCGCCGTAGAACAAACGGATTTTGCCAATGAAATATCCAATGGGTGGCTGCACAAATCTCTCAATCGGACGATGGGAAGACTGTGAACCCCCTCGTGGAATCCAAGATAAATTAACTATCCGTCGTATATCATGCAGAGCAGACTTGCAATCAAGAACTGCTTTTGAGTTTATAGTATACGTATTTAAAGCCTTGAAGGCCGCCTGACTATCGACAAATATAGTCACCGGTCCCGTATTATCGGCAGTAAGTGTTTTGACTATCTCGGTCGCTTTCGTAATTGCAATGATTTCTGCTTGAAAAACGCTACAAAGATTGTCAATCCTGTTATGTTCATATATATTATATGTAAGTTTTTAAACATACCTATATAAATCAGCCTTCTCCAATTTATATGTTTTTTTATTGAGAATAAAAATTGATAACTTTGTGTTGATGATATCCGTTGTCACGGTATTCTCCAGCTATTTAAAGATAAAAATTCTTTATTAACATTTATGATTGATTACATTTAAATTGGATGTGCTCCTTTGCCGTAAATATTTCATTATGTTATATATTGTAATATTTTGTTGTTGTGGAAAATGTTCTCCTTGTTTTTTTGTTTTGTTTTTCTTCTTTCTAGTGGAATTATTCTGGTAGGATTCAATATTGTTATTACTAAACATAAAAACTATATTATAACGTGTAGGTAGTAGTAATAGTATATGTGTATTCTAAAAATTTATAAACAAAGAAGAAAATATTCTTGGTGATCCAGTGAGAATGGATAGGGAGTTGGTTGGTTGCTTGGTAAAAGAAATAATAAACGTAGTGTAAAAATGTATAAAAATTAGAAATAACATATACGATGGCATACAGTAAAAAAAGAAAACTTTTTAAAATCCCTTTTGATATTGTTTCGATTCCAAACGTTGTTGTAGCATTTCCAATTGTCGTTTAGCCTCACATTGAGGGAAATTGTTTAAGTCATAATATTGGGGAGCCAGTGTTAATAACCATTCGGCTGTGGGAAGAAGAAATTTTGTTAACATTTAATATTTTTTTAAGATTGTAAAGGATCTTACGTTTAACATCTGTAACGGTACGTATATAATTCTTGGTGGTCAATACAAATTCATTGTATATAACCCAATCGGGTTTATGATCCAAACATGTTGAGGGATGTAATTGTACAACTTGATTATCTTTAATGGTCAGATAATGGCCGGTACGTTCCAAATGGGCCACCTGCATAAAGAATCCTTGTACCAAGGCTTTGCGTATATTCACATAATAATCCTTGGATGTGAATTCTGTACTGCTACGTTTCAAACAGAAACGATCCATAATGCGAGCCAATTGTTGTCGTACATTATCGGCCGATTTAAGAGAACGGAAATTAATAAAGTTCTCATAACACCAATTGGGATCTTCACTGCCTATGAGGGACAAAGAAAATACATATTAGTTTTTCAAAATCAAAAGGATATATTTTTCTGCTAACTTACTCTGTTTAAAGGCATGATAAACATTCAGCAAAGTCAAGTGATCACCATCGATGTGAGCAAAACGCATCTTAGCCTCATCAGCTGCCTTTTTGGCCTCATTTGGTCTAACAAAGCATTGTGGTACTGTTGTTTTTCGTTGTTGTCGTTGATGAAGATTTTCATTTACATATTTTGTTTGTCATTTTTAATTGGGTTTGAGTCCAAAGATAAAACAAAAGAAGAGCATTTTGTGTTTGGGGTATATGTTTAGACATCAATTTGTTTATACCATTTACCCGTTCACACAAGTTGTTGTATATTTAAGTTGTTTTCTTTCTTTTTCGATATTTTGTATTTTTAAATATATATTATTTTTGGTTTCAATAATTATCATAAGGAAGTTTATGAAATATCCAACAGTGATGATAAAGAACAATAACACACATCTAATGATTTCTATATTTTTTTGGACAAAGGAAATTGTGTCATCAGCATTTTTAGCATTGAGTTTCAAGAACGTTTTTTGCTGTTACAATTTTATTCAAAATCCACATAAAATGGTGGTATATTATTAAGGTATTCTCAAGTAATGGTTGGACATTTGATAAAAATTTGAATTTAATATTACTTGGGACTTTGTAACGCTATTGAAACTGTGATTCAGTGGAGTATGCAAAAGACAAATTCTCTATCCCCCACATAGAAAAAAGTAATAAAATTTTTCTTTTGCACTGTTTTCTTAATTATAGACTAAACTTCATATATTCTTCTTACCAAAAAATCTATAATTTTCTAAAGCTAATTTAGAATAGAACAAAAGATAAACCTGCTTAATCCTAGAAAATCCTATATTAGCCACAAGAAAAAAAAATCCTGGAAAATCAACAACTCCGAAAATTAATAAGAACATTTTTCAAAAATGAAAGCTAAATTGTGAATGAATTCTATGTCTGATTCTGCCAAGATATTTTCGGATTTCGGAAAATTCAACATCTGAACAAATCTTCAGGAATGCCTCAAGCAAAGACGTTGTGGAATTGAATCTTTCAATGGAAACTTGTCATGAAATTCAAATGAATGGCGAATTAATTTCAAATTCTGACTGGAAATTCTGGAATGCCAATTTTTTGATCCACTGCAGAAAGTGATGTCAATTCTCATTCGTGGTGCAGGTTGTATCAATATACAGATTGGGCATGCTACGATTCTACAAAATAAGGAACCTCATTCTGAAGTGGGGTTTAACAGGGAAAACGTTTAGGAAAGCAGACTTACAAAATCATATCTTTAACATTTAAAGTCAAAATTTGGAGGGATGGTTTTACGACATTTAGATCCGCATATTTTGTGTTCCTTTATGACACCAGAACCCCCAACCTGGCAACTCATACTTTCCTGAATTATGGAAAAGTTTATTGACAAAGTATCACAGAGTTTTACAATCACCGCATAAGAAAGTTGCCTTCTGATTCTTAGGTAGCCTATTAAAGATCATAATTACTGCTGATACGGCTCGCTTTAAGCCTTCTGGAGCTTTACCCAAAGTAAGAATAAACATCCTAGCAAATACGACGGTATTGTCCAATCAATATGAGGGCGCGAATAAATAGAAAAAATGAATGGGGATGTCCCCTCAAGGATTAGAGGATATTGTGCAACTCGCTAAACCCCATCATAGTGGTGCTCGGATTTATACCCATACATTCCTGAATTATGGGAAAGCTGATTGGCAAATTTTCAAGGAGGGTTTCCCAATCAACGCATAAGGAAGCTCCCCCAGATCCTTGGACAGTGGAGAGCAATTTTCGTAAAAATAACATGTAAAAAAGTGTCAGTCAGCCTATGATTTGCGGAGGTCTTCGGAATTACACATAGATTTTATTGTTAGTTTTATATATTCGGCCTTGATATAGACTTCGTAAAGATAAAAGGTTGTGCAAAGTTTGGTTTATATCGGCCATTCCATTCGTCTGATATTGGATTTACAAATATTGGAAAATTTTACCATTTATGAGGGCGGTACCATGAGGCTTGGACCAATAGGTCCCATCTTCAAACTTGAGCTACACTTGGTAAAGAAAATAGGTTGTGCCAAGTTTACTTCAAATCAGATATTCCAATCGCATGATATTGAATTTATAAATATAGAAAATTTTAACCATTTGTGAGGAGGTGTCAGAAGAAGTAGACCAATGGGTCCCATCTTTGGACTCAAGTCCAGTCTTAGTAAAGAAAATAGGTTGTGCAAAGTTTGGTTCATATCGGATAGTCCGTTCGCATGATATTATAATATTAAGTTGTAGGGGAGGTGCCAAAAGGAGTGGTCCGATATTCCCCATCTTCGAACTTAAACAAGTTTGGAAGAAATATTACGATGTGCAAAATTTGAACGAAATTGTCCAAATTTTGCACATCGGTCAGACAGACAGCTGACGGGCATTTTAAATTCAACTCCAAATTGTCTGAAACGGATTTGGTCTAAAGAAACATGGGGTCTAAAACAATATTTCGATGAGGCACATTTTCACCGTATCAAAGTGTATATACCCTCATTAGTCATAAGACTGAGGATGGCTCGCTTTAAACCTGCTGTACGAATACCAGGAGTAAGACCAAACTTTCCAGCAAAGACGATGAGCTTCAGAGAATGATGACTTAATGGTGTGCATGAAGGGTTTAAGTGATTGAAGATGTCATCATCTATCCTCCTATTGGCTACTTTATTGGCAAAATCCGTAAGAGCTACTGCGAGGTAGTCGGCAACAGAAGGTCAACCTGGATGCAGGATTTCAAAAATCATCAGGCCAAAATTCTCTCGCCATAGGACTTCTTCGCTGCTGTCTCATAGTAAGAGGGAGATAAAAATCTTTGAGGGGATTATAACAGGTCACTGCAGGATTAGATCTTTCATTTCCAAAGCGGTTCGTGACTGCAAGGTTATGTTGAGTTGAGTTGATTATGTTGAGTTCCAGGACAGTAACATAAAAGAGAATGGGCTAACCGATGAGCTTGCTCGAGGGCGTTCGCAGTCGTCCAATTTACCGATTAAGGGAACTGTGCAACCTCCTATTGGCTACTTTATTGGCAAAAACTGTAAGAGCTACTGCGGCTTTGTTAACAGATGTTGATATGAACTAAAATGACCAATTTACACTACACTCTATCTCTCCTTTGTTCCGCTGTCCTTTATTCCTCTCTTTTCAGGTATCCAGGATGAGCACAATGTACAAATGTCTCTGAGTAAATGACAGCCGTACATTTCCTAACCTAACCATCAAATCATCTTCCTGAATACTATTCAATCAGGTCGAGGTTCCTTGAAACACGAATGTTTCTATTTTTTATAAATTTTCAGACAAATGTATTCCCATTTTCTCTTATCAAAATCCCCTAGAGTCTATCTGCATTTTCTCCTAATCTCAAACAAATCCTAACTGACTTTAAGAAAATTAAATAAAAAATTCATAAAAAATAATCTCACCCGACAGCATAGCCGTTATAGAAAGAATTTCATTTGAACAATTGTGTTGGCAACTGGCAATAAGCATTTTAGCCAATTGAGGATCCAAGGGAAATTCTGACATAACAGCACCCAAATCAGTTAAATTGCCATCGTCATCCAATGCAGCCAAATAATTGAGAAGTTCCAAAGCACGCATTAAAGTTTCGGGAGCTGGGGGATCCATGAAATCGAAATGGACCAAATCGTCTATACCGAGTTTTTTCAACTGCAAGACCACGGTGCCTGGAAATTACAAAAAAAAATTAAAATTTTTTGAAAATGAAGGAAGTCTTGATTTGCATAAGGTAATTTTAATTAATAAATCAATAAAACTTACCCAAATTAGATCTCAAAATTTCCGGATATGTATTATCTTGCATTTCATTCTTGTAAGCCTTCTCGGTGTAGAGTCGGAAACATTTGCCTGGTTTTGTACGACCGGCACGACCAGCTCTCTGTTGAGCCGAAGCTTTCGAAATGGGTGATACCAATAAACTTTCAACACGAATACGTGGATTGTAGACCTTCTGCTTGGCAAAACCAGGATCAATTACGAACACCACACCATCAATGGTCAGTGAAGTTTCTGCAATATTTGTTGAGACGACAACTTTACGTCCAATAGCACCATTGGCATTTGGTGGTGGTGCTGGTTCAAAAATGCGTTGCTGTAGATTTGGTGGTAAAGTTGAATACAATGGTATACATTTTAGTTCCCCTATGTCCGAACCCAAATTATCCACTTCACGTTTTATACGTTTACAAGCCTCTTCGATTTCCTCCTGACCCGTTAAGAACATCAGAATATCACCTTCGATCTCCTCACACATATGAATTTGAATCACAGTACGTATGGCTGCCTCTAAATAATCACGTTCCGGTTCGGGTGTGTAGAATATCTCTACAGGATGTGTACGACCTGGGACATTCATAAGTGGAGCATTGTCAAAGTATTGCTGGAATTTACCAGCATCCAGTGTGGCAGACATCACAACTAATTTTAAATCACTACGCTGACGAATAACCTCTTTGAGTACACCCATCAGAATATCGGTAGCCAATGTCCTTTCGTGAGCCTCATCCAACAATATCACCTGATATTGTTCCAACATAGGATCGGACATGGCTTCTCGCAGCAACATACCGTCTGTCATGTACTTGAGCAAAGTCTTTGGCGAAGAACAGTCCTCAAAACGAATAGAATAACCGACTTCTTCACCCAGGTTGACATCCATTTCTTCGGAGACACGTTGTGCCACAGACATAGCAGCCACACGACGTGGTTGTGTACACGAGACACCCTTCTTACCCTTCGATACGGCATAATCAACACACCATTGTGGTATCTGTGTTGTTTTGCCGGAACCTGTCTCACCCACCAACACGATACACTGATGATTGTTCAGCAGACGCATGAAATCAGTTTGATATTCGAAAACAGGCAATGTGATTCGCTTCTTGTACAACTGATGGAAACGCTGTGAATACGGCCGCAATGTGAAGGGATTCATGGAACCAGGTTGTTTGGGTGCCGTAACCGGACCAAGTGATGTACTACCAGCCACCGTGGATGAGGATGATGTCGAGGCCATCTCGTCTCCCCTACAAAGAAATTAAAAACGGAAAGAAAATAATTTTCACAGTTCAATGGGCGCCATATTATTTTTATTTTTTGTTCGTTTGTTGCTCGCCGTTCCTCATGCCCAGCATGAACAACCATGTCGTTTACTTACTTTTTCTGTTTACTTGAGTATGTCTCACCGACTTCAATGCGTCTCTTTGACATGTTGTTAAGTTTCGGAAGGAAAATCTAAAGAAATTAAGTTTTAAAAACAATTATATCCCCGGAATTTTTATAAATTTTGCCCCTGCAAAAATAATAACCGCACGTTTTCAAGTGAGAAGATACTACAAGTGATGAGAAGAATGTGAGTATCCGAGTACTCGGTATTTGATGTGCGTCGTAAATATTACAATTTCAATGTAGTCGTGTGAAAATAAAGTGACCGGGCAACATATTGAATTTTAGATTTGGGGAAAGGGAAAAATAGAAGTGGAAAAGTTTCACTACATATCTTTATAACAATTAAATCGATCCTACAATACTTTGAAATCACTAGTATGGTGTTTCGCGTTAATAGGTTAGGTTAAAGAATGTTCGGAAGATGTTTTCCCTAAAAGTCCTGTGATCATCATGAGAACCTGCAAAATTAAAGATAGAAAAGAGAATGTAGTAGGGGAAGAGGTTAGACTATGACAGTTGTAATTTGGCTATACCCTGAAACCCAAGTACTCGATGTAAATTAGACGGACGACCATACAATACAGGGGCAAATGCCTATCGCAAAGAAGCCTTTGTTGATGAAAGCAGCTCATAGTTTGAAGGCTGTCATTAGTAAGACGAAGGTCTTACGACAGCCTTTGTTGACGAAAGTAGCTCAGCCACCTGTCTCGCATATTCCTGTAGCGGTCAGGAAGGATAGTTGGAAGGCTGTCATTAGTAAGACGAAGAAGAAGGGTTGAGGGTTTTGAACGTTGGCTCCATAGAAAGTTTTTGAAGTGAGAATTTGAGGTCAGCCATGGCATAGTCTATTACTCGGCACCTAAGAGACTCCAAGACCCAGCTATCCAAGGAATAACATTGGGTTTCTATTATCCGCAACCTGTGGACCCGTCCATAGAAAGTTTTTGAAGTGAGAACGTGAGGTCAGCCATGGTATAGCCTCTTAAGAGACTCCAAGACTCAGCCACCCAAGGAATAACATTGGGTTTCCACTATCATTTAGCTCTGCTCTCTTTAGACGGAACATACCAAAAATTTTCCATTAGAACAATTACAATGGCAACAGCACCATTGTTGGAAATATACTCTCCTCCATATCACCCTGAGCATAAATGCCGTTTAAAATAAATTGTGTCCAATGCTCATATCTAACAATTTATTCCGCATATGATCTGCAACTGAATTCTGAACTTTAGATCTGTCGGGTTTGAACTACAGATCTATGTTTAGCTAGTTATACAGCTGCTAAAGAAAATAAGTCATATTCGACTAGCGGGCGGAGTTCTGTGACTTTAGGTGTTACAGATTAGGTTGCTCCCCCTTAATTTCGGTATGTTAAGGAGTTTGACACTCCTTTCAATCCTCTATTAATATTTCGAAATGTGATCGTCGGATTACTACATCACATTACAAAGGAATACCCGGCTCATTCACATCTGACTTCTTGTATGGGTCCTAAAGAATTTTCAGTCTGGATTTTTTTAATTACCTTCCTCTATGTTTCTCAGAGGGTATTAGAGAAATGTTATTTTCAAAAAAAAAAAAAACAAAATTTTGAAAATATTAAAATAAATTTCGAATGTTCTGTATTCTGCAAATTTTTTGTCAACAAATTTTACCAGCTTCTATGTACGTTTACCGAAGAAAATGTTTATCGACAGTTCTGTTTATTGATCTATAGATACTTATTCATGACAGCTGATAGCAGCTGTGAACATGTTTTCATTTTTCAACATCCCACCTCATTCGTAAACTTTCGGTTATTCCACTTTAAGTTCTTTTTTTATCGGCAATTTTGTCTTCTCCCATTCTTTGGCATGTGGAACGTTTTTCAACTTTTCTTCATCGATTCGTCCGATTTTCGACCTAAAAACAAACATCTTTGTTTGTTTTGATTCTGGCTTTATCAGTTACATTTTAAAGCTATTTCGTCCAAATTCGCAACGCCGTCAAAACTTTATGAAACGGCATTGTAATCAAAGGAAAGGTATTCCATCGTGTCCGCAATAAGAAAGTGAATATGTACAGAATTTTACAATAAAAAAGGAAAAAAAGGACATCATTTTTTTAAATTACTTACCATTCTTTGTGGTATGTGTGTTGGTGCGAAAATAAATTGAGGAAATGGAGATTCCCATACAAGTTGCGGTGCGTATATGCCCCGTTTTTGAGGATAATAATGGAAATTTGCGAAAGGGAGAACAGCAAGAACAAGAGGAAGATGCGACAAAGGAGCCCAATAATGATTATGAGGAGGATGAAAGGGACCGCAAGTGCTGTGTACGAAATATACCATTTGCCCCGAGGAGACCACCACCACCGCCGCTAGGAGGTTGTATGGATTTGGCAGCGGGTATTGTACAAGTGGGTCCCCACTCATTCCCGGTAACGCATGCCCTCCCCTTGAATTGCACCCAAAATCAGCTGTATCATCAGACAGTGTTCCCGCTGATGAGTTTGTTTATGGAGGGTTTTGATGCCTCGGTGGTGGCTTATGGCCAAAGGGGTTGTGGCAAAACATATGCCTTATATGGCAATGGTTTCAATGAATCTCCCGAAAAGGATGACCACGGCGTGGTGGCTCGTTGTATAAGGGAAATATTCAATCATATTGCCAATCATCCGGAACGCACGTATGCCGTTAATATCACCTGGGTGGAGATTTGCCGGGAAATTATCCGTGATGTCTTTGGAGTGGGTAGTGTCCAGTGTATGAATGTTAATGATGCCTTCCATTGGTTGAAAGTGGGCTATAAACTGTTGAACAGTACAAAATCTCAAATGGGTCACTCGCTGTTTAGCATTACACTGGAACAGAGATGGATTTCGAAGGAGGGTTTGATACAACATCGTCTGTCGACGGCTAGTTTTACGGATCTATGTGCTACGGAACGTTTGTTTATGTTGAACTCCCTGGAACAGCCTACAAGTTTACCCAAAGATTTGGGTTTACAATCGCTGGAGAGGGTGGTTAGTACCCTCATAGATCCTTCGTTTATTTTCAAGGCAAATGGTAATGTGCCATATAATCAGACGATGTTGACCACCTTGCTGAAGGATTCATTTGGTGGCCGGGCCCAAACGTTGGTCATAGTTTGTGTATCCCCCTTGGAGAGGGATATCAATGAGACCATATGTAATATGCAGTTTGCCTTTAAAGTTCAATGTGTGCGAAATTTTGTGGTAATTAATTCATTTTCCGATGATAACACGCCCGTCTCGCCGGATGAACTGCCACCCGAAATGCGGGATGTTGGTATGGGGTTGCCACCTCAGGTTCATGATAATTTTGGGTTACAGTTTGCCGCCAGTCAATGGTCTAAATTGGTGGCCAATGCTGAGGATTTACTGTCGAAGTGAGTTGAATAAAATTGAGATTTTCAATATTTTTCCTAATTGTTGTTCTTCTTCTTTATTAGGCTAATCTCCTCCAATACCCTTGGCGAATCCGATAAACAACAAATCGAAGAATGGCTTTTGCAAAAACAAGAATGTGAGGAATGTTTGAATTCCACCGACTCTATGCAGGCTGAAAACGCCTTAGGCCCCATCCAGGAAGCCGATGAGCATGATGAGGACGAGGAGGAAGATGTGGACAGTGACCCCGATGTCAGCGACTCAGAAACCCCATTGCAACAAAATTCCGAAAATGAATCTGATGTAGAATCTCAACGTCCAGACTTAGAAGAAAAATTGGAGCAATTAATGGATAATTTGAAATCGAAGACCGATGATATTGTCAAACAAAAATATCAAGAATTTATGGAGAATCACCCCAAAGGTGTTATGGAATCCCAGGAAAGTATGCGGCTTAAAAAAGACAACAGCTATGAAGAGAAACAGGATGAAAGGAAACCCTCCTTGGGTAGCAGTGATAGCAATAGTGGAGGTGTTATGGTTTCAGGCAGTGGCGGGTGTGTGGGACGTAGACGTTCCATACAACCCGGCTCCGCATTGTCCAGTGCTGAAATTGCAATGCTTAATCGTGTGGCCTCACGAGAACGTTCTGAAAGCGATAAATCAAAAGAGAATCAACAGTTGGAACCCCAGCCAGATGACTTTTTAGATATGTCCACAGATTTGCCAGTACTTAGGCCACACTCCAATTCCCCCTTGGAGGCAATACAAAAGAAGTTACGAAAACTCGATGCCGACATTGAGGCGAGACAAAAACAAATTAAAGAAATTGAAGAAACAATGCAGCTGAAACAAAACATCATCACCGAACTCATCAAGAATAGTGACACCCGGACCACGGCAAAACAAAGATTCCACAAGAAACGTGCCAAACTCGAGGCGGAATATGAAAAAACAAAGAAGGCCCTTAACAAGGCCACGGCTCAGCAGAGGGACAAAACCGAATTGGACCGCTTGAAGGCGGTGATTAACCACTTGGAACAAAGACTCAATGATGTGACCTCCATAAAACATATCGCTGGCGAAAGTGTACAAAAAGTCAAAAAGTTGCAGCAATCCCTGCAGGAGTCCAAGAAACTAATGGACGACCTGCAGAAGAAAGTGAAGAAGGAAAAGAAACTCAAGGAGGCTTTACAAAACGAATTGAAAAGCCTCAAAGAAAAAGAAAACTCCAAAGCTTTAACAAAACACGAGGATAGTCCCAAACTCCCCGAAGAGAAAACCAAACACCTCAAGGATGTACAATCCCGCATCGCCCATTTGGATCATGTCCTGAAGGAGAAGTCAGACAATTTGGAACAATATCGCGACGATGAACAACGTGAAAGTTTACGTCATGAAATACGTAATTTACGTAGAACTCGTGACCATTTGCTCGATCAACGTTGCTCCTTAGATCGTAAGCTGAAGCGTGATAAAATGCTCAGCCACAAAGAGGAACGCAAGCTGCTGGAATGTGATGAAGCCATTGAGGCCATAGATGCAGCCATTGAATTTAAAAATGAATTAATTTGTGGCCACAAATCCATTGATACCAGTGAGCGGCTGCAACGTGAAAAAGGTGAACAAATGTTGATGGCCCGCCTCAATAAACTATCCAATGAGGAAATGCGTACGCTGCTCTATAAATATTTTACCAAAGTTATTGACCTCAGAGATTCATCACGGAAGCTGGAAATACAATTAGTGCAATTAGAGCGAGAAAAAGATGCATGGGAATGGAAGGAGCGGGTCCTATCCAATGCTGTGCGTCAGGCCCGCCTCGAGGGAGAACGTAATGCAGTATTACTACAGAGGCAACATGAAATGAAATTGACATTAATGTTAAGGCATCTGGCCGAAGAGACCTCGAATAGCTCAGCATCATTTTCCGATCAGTCGCTGTCGGTGCCACGTTTTTATAAACCCTCACAATTGGCTCTGTCCACTCCAACAACCCTGGCAAATGCAGTGTACTCCGATTCCGAATTTGAATGGCTCGGTGGTCATCATCCTCCTCCTGCTCCTCCTACACAAAATAACAATACCAACACACGTCTCGTGAAAGCCTCCAAAATCAATGAAATGGAAATGTGTCCCATTACCGATCCCACACTCAATAAATATAAACCATTGGATAAAATCAAAGACAAAGAAAGGGAAACAAAAAATAAACTATTCGCCAAATTTCAAGTTTTAACACGTTATGCCAGTAATACTCAACACACCAACACGGATGATTCGAATATGGCATCCACCTCATCTTCCCATTCCCAGGCTGCTGCTGGTCATAAACGTAAAGACAAGGATGGGGGAAATTTACAAAAATTGGAATTACCCCATAGCCCAGCCATACCCCAGGAGAATCTCAAAAAGCTATCAGGAAATGCTCAAAATACAAAGGTAACAAGACAAAAGAATAAAATTATCATACAAGATAAATCAAGGAAGAATTGAAAGGATCCCCTCTCACAGCAATTAAGTAGAAAGAAGAAGAAGAAAAAGCACGAAAAGCAAGTAAGACACATTTAAAGAAAAGTATACTTAAGAATTAACTAATTTTTTTGTTAGCTTATCGGCCGTAATGGCGCTGCGTAAAGGTACTATTTTTTTTTTGTTAGTTTTATAGACGATATGATGAAGTATCTGTTTTTGTTAGACTTCAGTCCAGTTCCAGTTGAATTTGGCATCTATTTGTTTCTATTTGTATGTGTAATAGTAATTTGTTCTTTCTTTCTGATAATATGTAGAACAAAATTTACAACTCCAGACTTGATATATTTTAAAGAATTGTTTCTAGGAACCAATTCCATATTCCAATATGATAATAATATTCGAATACTGTAGTAATAATAATGATAAATGGCATCACTGGCAAAAAAAATGTTTTTTCTGTCTCTTCCATGAAATCTTAAAGGATAAAAAGGATATAATGATGGTCTTATGAAATCCTTGATTGCTGCTATTTTTCCTCTTCATATAAAGTATTTGAGCTATAATCACCACTCTCTATACAGTAGTCTCTGATTATCAGAAATTCAAGCCTTATCTCTGGAGTAATTTAGTAACAGAATAGTTGTCCGATTAGAAAATACGGCTTCAATTTTATTATTGGTTATATACAATGTACGTTTCAAAAATCATATTTTCAATGGAATATAAACTTTTGGGAAGTTTTGCCATTTTCCCACATGGTATTCTAAAACGATTAGTTTTTCTAGTATTCCCAATATCCAATACTTAACGATGTGTTATGATGTGGAATTTCGGTTTCTGAAATCAATTAGTTTTAATCGCAGACAGCTATATATATATATATATATATATCAATATGTCCACAGATATGAAAATTCCTATGTATAGAAGTTACGTTTCAAAAATCATATTTTCAATGGATATTTTGCTGGAAAGTATTTAAAATTTTCCACAGGAAAAGCGTAAAGAAAAACGATTATATTTTCAGCATTTTCTAAATTCAACACCAAGCGCCTGGCGAAGTGTTCTGATAGAGAGTTTACGATTTTGAATCGAATAGAAATCAATTAGTGTTAACCTAAGAAATCTGTATATTTTTCATGTCCACTGAAAATCCCTTTTATCTAAATGACTGGAAAGGCCCCTATGAAAGAAGTGTTACCAGATCAAGAACTTGGCAAATATAACATATGACCCGCCCGACCTCAACATGACTCTATTCTAATACAATCGCTACTCTGACTTCAAACAGTTAAAAAGGGCTTCAAAAAATTTAGTTGCCTTTTTTCTCACGTAATCGATGTAAACGGAAGGACTGCAGTGAGACATGGTCCTTGTCAGGGCAAGAATTAACAATTGAACTTGCTGATATGCTCCGAAACGAATAAAGTCGGTACGTTAATAGGTAAGGGGAACACAAAAGGTCCTTAGAAGGAAGCTACTTATTTCACAATGTACACCCTTTTAAAATCAATTCGACTTGTAATTTTCCTAATTTTTTCGGCAAGGTTTAAGTTCTGTCATAGAAGTTGTTACGATATATCTTAAATATATTTAAGTTTCTGATTTGATATCGTTTTGGAAAGATATCTACCCTTATAAAATTAACCAGTATTTGCGATTTGCTTGCCATTATCCAAATGTATACCCTTTTAAAATCAATCGGAGTTGATATTTTTCTAATTTTCTTCCGGCAAGGTCCAAGTTCTGCCATAGAAGCTGTCACGATAAATTTCCGTAGATATTTAAGTTTCTGATTTGATATCATTTTGGAAAGAACAGTTTTTTCTGAAGCAGTAATGAAGAATTTCGCCTAGAGATTTACTTCGAGGCTCCCTCTTGTTATTTATCCAAATGTATACCCTTATAAAATTAACCAGTATTTCCGATTGGCTTGCTTTTATCCAAATGTAGACCCTTTTTAAAATCAATCCGTTTCGACATTTTTCTAATTATTTTTCTGCAAGGTCCAAATTCTGTAATACCAGCTATAACAATATATTTCAAAGATATTTAAGTTTCTGATCCAATATAGTTTTGGAAAGAACATTTTTTTCTGAAGCAGTGAGGCGAAATTTTGCCCAGCCTTTTTCCAAGGTTCTCTCCCATTATGATTGTACGTTATTTATTCAAAATGTATATCCTTATTTCCGATTTGAGATTATGCAAATTTATTGCCTGTTCTCATCGAAACTGTTTTGGCATCTTTAAAGATAATTCTTCTTCTGTTCCGCTAAAGTTTGGTAAAAAATTCGATGACACTCCCTCGGTTCAATACATGTCTTTGGGGTTTGTTCATCTCTCAGGTCACAGGTTATGCACAGTCATTTTTAGTATTCAAAAATTAAATTTGCATGAATGCACCTAATCTGTCCGAATCCAATCCAGCAATTTATTTCAATAAAAGTACTGCTCTTTATCTCCGATAATTTTAAGATTTGAATTTCTTCTTCTTTAAGTTTTGGTCTCTAGTTATGCCCCGATTTCTTAAATTGCAGTGAAGTCGAAGGTCTCAGCAGGGAGACTTTTTTTTTTGACAATTTGAAGCCGGGAGTATTTCATTGACGAGCTGAAACAGGCAGTCTTTCATTGACGAGCTGAGGCAGGGAGTCTTTATTGATGAGGCGAAGAAACTCTTTACTGGCGAACTGATGACAGTTTTTAGAGAAGATTTGAAGAGACTCTGAACTGACTACTCCTGAAGCGAATTTTTATAGGAGAGGGTCTTTCAAAGAGGCAGAAGCAGAGAGTCATTATAGATGAGCTGAAGCAGTGAGTCTTTCATAGACGAGCTGAAACCGGGAGTCTTTTATAGACGAGCTGAAGCAGCGAGTCTTTCATAGATGAGTTGAAGGAAAGAGTCTTTCATAGAGGCGCCCAATGTATTTTATATAACCGAAATATTATCATCAAATGACCTGAACGAAACCTTTGTAGAGAAAGGCCGAAGTGCTGAAGGATAATTTGGCGGCCAGCGGAATGGATTCTTTGTAGACGACTTGGATGAGGCTTTGTAGAGAAAGCTGAAGGCTATATTTATAGCCGAGTCGAGATTTAGCGCCCAACGTAAATTAGAAAACAGATACATCAACTGCCAATATGGTCCACCTAGATGGATGGAGTCTTTGTAGACGACTAGTAGGGATTATTTGTAAAGTGTAAAAAGATCTGAAGGGAGTCTTCATAGATGATCTGTTGGGCAATGTATCCTGCACTGATGATTTTAAAATAATTTTGGCGCCAAACGTAAATTATAAAATAGTCACGATTTATTTTCACATCATATCTTAGAGGAGCTGAAGGAAACATTTATAGACAAACTGAAGGGGCTCATTAAAGACGAACTGAGGGGAACTGAAAGGAATATTTATAGGTGACGAATTTTCATAACTTGAATCATATCTTTGATTTGACGAAATTTTACAAAAAATGAAATTGATCACGGTATTGGTATTATTATTTTGCCATCAAGAATATACTATTCATATTGTAGTTGTTCAACCAATAGTTCTTAGTAGTCCTATTGATGTTTGAATTAGGTCACCTATACCATTATAAGTCCCATTAATGGTATTTTGCATTGTTAAAAAAAATCTGTAAGGATACATTCATTATTGTAGAATGTGGAGTTACCTTTTAGCTAAAAAGTCTGGAGTTTCTATTTGCATACTAACCAATTTCCGCTGATTCTTTAGCTAACTGAAGCAGGGAGACTTTATAGACCAGCTGAATCAGTGCGCCTTTATAGACGAGCTGAGGTAGGGAGTCTTTATAGAAGACCTGAAGCGGGGAGTCTCTGTATTTGTTCTATTTAAAAATTATCTACTTGTCTTTTCTATCTTCAAACTATTTCGTCAACTTGTATACTACTTCTCCTACCGTGTAGAAATTGATAAATTCGGTTTATAGCATTTAGAAAGTATTCTTCCTACTTAGGTACACACCCCACTCACACAAGTAAAAGGCATTTATATTAAGCTATACATTCAATAAAAGAAGAAATGTAATTTATAATCATTTGTTTTTAATTTTAGCGTATTAATAATATAATACTATTTTATATATCATATTATTTAAGTATATTATTTTTTGTCTGATTTTTGTATTAAGTCCCATTGATCAAGTATTTTTTCCTGATCACAATGTTTGTTTTTATATTTTTTACTGTACTGTATGTATTTTATTTCTCTATACCTTTTTATAAACGATCTCTAACTATATATATAATACTCAAATATTTTTAATATATATATAATTTTTTGTTATATACTTAAAAAAAGTGAAAAAAACTACAAATTAATTTTAATGATACTTAAACTGACTAGTCCTCAATATTGAACTTTTATGTATTTTGTTTTTAAAAAATACTATCCTTGATGGAATGTCTTTTGTGTTAAAAAAAAACATGTTATTCTTAGGTTAAACAAATGAAATTTCTTGTATTTCGTTTAAAAGAAATATCCTCGATGGAATATCCTTCAGATTAGCTTGAACTGATGCAATTCAAATATTGAAATTTCATATATTTCTTTGGAGAAAAAACTATCCTTGATGGAAAATCCTTCATGTTAGGTTAAACAGATGAAAATATAATTTTGTTCTTGAGCCACTGTGTGCTGGAGACAAGACTAAGTAAAACAACAAGTATTATTTTTTTGATTGAAAATCATCCTATTTTTTTTCATTAAACTAATTATTAATACTCGAAGACTAACTGAAATATCATTTTCAAATTGAGATTATCCACAGGAAAACTATATATATTTTAATGTACCACACAAAGTATTAAACTAACTTTAATATCATTTACAAAAATAATGGATTCTTAAAAATTAACCGGAAATCAATAACAGAAAATTGTTTTTAATATTTTCTATAACCGGATATATATTTTTTCTAACAGAAAACATATTTTAACACTTCCATTCCCCTTTTTGCTCTCGAATATATTTTATACTTCCATTTCCATTTCCTCCCTCACCTGCATTTAATTTATTATCCATGTACTTCCATTTTGTTTTTATATATAATGTATATTTATTTTTTTAGGTCTAATTTATTAAGTTTTAGTATTAAAAAAATAATTAAAAACAAATACATCATTGCGCCATATACAAAGAAATAAGAAAGTGGTATATCAGAAAATATATCCACATTTAAACACACACACACACACACACAGAGACAAAAATTCATTAATAACAATTTTTGTAATCTATGTTATATATATAGAATATATTCTTTAAAAATATATATCAAAAATAAATGAAAGAATAAAAAAAGCAATCCCTCAATAAAAAATAATAAATAATTGATTGTTGTTTTATTTAAGAATAAAAATTCTGGAGTGAGTTTTTTCGACGGGCTGAAGCCGTCGAAAAAAGCAGGGAGTCTTTCATAGACGAGCTGAAGCAGGGAGTCTTTCATAGACGAGCTGATGCAGGGAGCCTTTCATAGACGAGCTGAACCAGGGAGTCTTTCATAGACGAGTTGAAGCAGGGAGTCTTTCATAGACGAGCTGAAGTTAGGGAGTCTTTCATAGACGAGCTTAAGCAGAGAGTCTTTCATAGCCAAGCTTAAGCAGGGAGTTTTTCATAGAAGAGCTGAAGTCAGGGAGTCGTTTATAGTCCAGCTGAATTAGGGAGTCTTTCATAGACGAGCTGAAGCTGGGATCTGAAGCAGGGAGTATTTCAAAGACGAGCTGAAGCTGGCTGTGTTTATATATAAGCTGAAGCAGGCAGTCTTTCAAAGACGATCTAAAGCAGGGAGTCTTTCATAGACGAACGGAAGTCACGGAGTCTTTCATAGGGAGTATTTCATAGACAAGCTGAAGTAGGGAGTCTTTCCTAGCCAAGCTTAAGCAGGGAGTTTTTCATAGAAGAGCTGAAGTCGGGGAGTCGTTTTTTTGTTCAGCTGGGAGTCTTTCATAGACGAGCTGAAGCAGGGAGTCTTTCATAGACGAGTTAAAGCAGGGAGTCTTTCATAGACGAGCTAAAGCAGGGAGTCTTTCATAGACGAGCTAAAGTAGGGAGTCTTTCATAGATGAGCTGAAGTCAGGGAGTCGTTTATAGTCCAGCTGAATTAGGGAGTCTTTCGCAGACGAGTTGAAGCACGGATTCTTTCATAGACGAGCTAAAGCAGGGAGTCCTTCATAGACGAGCTGAAGTAGGGAATCTTTACGGACGATCTGAAGCAGGGAGTCTTTCATAGGCGAGAAGAAGTAGGGAGTCTTTATGGACGAGCTAAAGTAGGGAGTCTTTATGGGCGATTTGAAGCAGGGAGTCTTTCATTGGCGAGATAAATGGAGTACTTAGAGAGGAGCTGTAGAAGGGAGTCTCGGTAAACGAACTGAAGCAGGGAGTCTTTCATAAACGAGCTAAAGGCAGGGAGTCTTTCATAGACGAGCTGAAGTCAGGAAGACTTTCATAGGCGAGCTGAAGGGAGTCTTTCATAGACGAGTTGAAGCAGGGAATCTTTCATTGACGAGTTGAAGCAGGGAGTCTTTCATAGACAAACTGAGACATGGAGTATTTCATAGACGAATTGAAGCAGGGAGTTTTTCATAGACGAGCAGAAGCAGTGAGTCATTCATAGAGGAGCTGAAGCTGGGATCTGAAGCAGGGAGTATTTCAAAGACGAGCTGAAGCTGGGTGTGTTTATATATGAGCTGAAGCAGGCAGTCTTTCATTAGCGATCTGAAGCAGGGAGTCTTTCATAGAAGAACGGAAGTCACGGAGTCTTTCATAGACGAACTGAAGTTAGGGAGTCTTTCATAGACAAAATGAGACATGGAGTATTTCATAGACGAATTGAAGCAGGGAGTTTTTCATAGACGAGCAGAAGCAGTGAGTCATTCATAGAGAAGCTGAAGCTGGGATCTGAAGCAGGGAGTATTTCAAAGACGAGCTGAAGCTGGGTGCGTTTATATATGAGCTGAAGCAGGCAGTCTTTCATTAGCGATCTGAAGCAGGGAGTCTTTCATAGAAGAACGGAAGTCACGGAGTCTTTCATAGACGAACTGAAGTTAGGGAGTCTTTCATAGACGAGCTGAAGCAGGGAGTCTTTCATAGACGATCTGAAGCAGGGAGTCTTTATGGACGATCTGAAGCAGGGAGTCTTTCATAGGCGAGATAAAGGGAGTACTTAGAGAGGAGCTGTAGAAGGGAGTCTCGGTAAACGAACTGAAGCAGGGAGTCTTTCAAAGACGAGATGAAGCCGGAAGTCCTTCATAGACCAACTGAAGCATGCAGTTTTTCATAGACGAGTTGAAGCAGGGAATTTTTCATTGAAGCTGAAGCAGGGAGTCTTTCATAGACGAGCAGAAGCAATGAGTCTTTCATAGATGAGCAGAAGCTGGGATCTGAAGCAGAGAGTATTTCAAAGACGAGCTGAAGCTGGGTGTGTTTATATATGAGCTGAAGCAGACAGTCTTTCAAAGACGATCTAAAGCAGGGAGTCTTTCATAGGCGATCTAAAGCAGGGAGCCTCTCATAGATGGGCTGAAGCAGAGTCTTTCATTGACGAGCTGAAACAACGAGCTTTATGTTAAGCTCGGCGTAAATTATAAAACAGTTACATCGAATGCTAATATGATCCGTCTAGTTGGATGGAGTCTTTGTTGACGCCCTGAAGGGAGTCTTTGTAGAGAAAGGCTGAAAGGAATATTGAAGTATAATCTGGCACCTAACGTAAATTATAAAACAGACATATCAAATGATAATATGGTCCGCCTAACTGGTTGGTCCGCCTAGACGACCTGGTGGGAACCTTTGTAGGGTATGACTGAAGGGAATATTTATGGTCGAGCTGAAGGATAATTTGGCGCCCAACTTAAATTATAAAACATACACATGAAATGTCAGCAATATGGAGTCATTGTAGACGACCTTTAGACAGCCTCTGTTGAGAGGGGCTGAAGGGAACATTTATAGTCGAGCTGAAGGATAATTTGTAGAGAAAAGCTGAAAGGAATATTTATATTAGATCTGAAATATAATCTGGCGCCCAACGGAAATTATAAAACCGTCCCATCAAATGCTAATATTGTCCACCTAGTTGGATGGAGTCTTTTGAAAACGATCTGGAGGGGCCTTTGTATAGACAGACTGAAGGGAATATTTATAGTCGAGTTGAAGGATAACTCAACGACCAACGTAAATTATAAAGCAGTCAAATCTATTGTTACTATGGTCCGTCTTTGTAGACGACTTGGAGGTGGATATTTATAGTCGAGCTGAATTTGGCGTCCAACGTAAATTATAAAACAGACGAATCTAATAGTATAGGAGGGAATATTTATAGTCGATCTGAAGGATAATTTGGCGCTCAATGTAAAGTACATAAAATACACATCAAATACAAATATGGTCAGCTTAGCTGGGTAGAGTCTTTGTAGACGATCTGGAGCGAGACTTTATAGAGAAAGACTGAAGGAATCTGTATATAAATTCAAATATGATTATGGTTCACATAGATGAATGGAGTCCATGTAGACGACCTGTAGACAGCATTTGTAGAGAAAGGCTGAAGGGAATATTTATAGTCGGGCTGAAGAATAATTTGGCGGCCAACGAAATTTATGAAACAGACGTATCAACTGCTAATATGGTCCTTCAAGCTGGGTGAAGTCTTTGTAGACGACCTGAGGGGCGTCTTTGTAGAGACAGGCTAAATGGAATATTTATACTCGAAAAGAGGGATAAATTGGCACCCAACGTAAGTTTTAAAATGCTAATATGACCCGTCTAGCTGGATGGAGTCTTTGTAGACGATTTGGAGAGAGCTTTTGTAGAGAAAGACTGAAGGGAATATTTATATTCGAGTTGAAGAAAAGTTGGCGCCCAACGTAAATTATGATACAGATGCTCGGTCTAGCTGGATGGAGTCTTTGTAGATAGCATGAAAGAAGCTGAAGGGAATATATTTTTACTTGAGCTGGTGCCCAACGTAAACTATAAAAAATATGCATAAAATGCAAATATGTTCCGTTTTGCTGGATAGGGTAGTTGTAGACGAAATAGAGGGATCATTTGAAGAGACAGACTGATGGGAATATTTATACTCGAGCTGAAGGATCATTTGGCACCCAACGTAAACTATAAAAATACATCGTTTCCACGACAGAGGGGTCTATAAAAAATATGTGTAAAAGCATAAAATGTAAATATGTATATGTATGTATATTTATACTCGAGCTGGATAATTTGGCGCCCAACGTAAGTTATAAAGACGCATCAAATACTAATATGGACGACTTGGAGCTAAATGGAGTCTTCATAAACGAGCTTATCCTGATATATCCTTAACAGAGGTGTTTAATATAATATGGCGCCCAACGTAAATTTACAATTTTTAAAAGAAATTTAAAGTTTTCTAACTTTTTCCAATATTTTGAATCTTCTGCTTCTGTAATCTGTTATCCTCTCAATTTTTTTCACACACACCTAATTGGGATGTCAAAATCCATTGCAAATGTCAATTGCGCGCCTCCATAAACATTTCAGCAGTGTTGTAAAAAAACTTTATTTTCCAAGTACTCTAGGAAATCCCTACGTCATAATTTTTTATTGGTATTTAAGTCAGAAGTCCAGGTGGTTGTAGAAGGAGCGATTCGACAGGTAAGCAACCCAAAAAAAAGTGCGACTGTCATAAATGATGGCAGCAGTAATCAAAATGAAATCAACACAATTATGTGTTGTAGTAGTTCAGAGTAAGGCCTCGTGGCAGCTACCTGCTGATCTCTACCAATCACGTCCAACACTCTTCGCCATCGGCCCAAAAGTAATTACAGGGCAGTTTTAGTTAAGACATCAACGAGTAACGTTGTTCGGTGTCGGAGAGTCGGATAACGGATCGATGACGAGTGAAAACGAAATCGTATAAAGAATTTGAATGTAGAAAATAAGTGAAAAAGAAAACAACAACAAAAAAGAGAATGGAAATTCCAATACATGTTGCGGTGCGCATTTGTCCCAAGGGATTGTTGCAACTACCACAACAGAAAGTAGTCGAAGAAGAGGAAGGAAAAGTGATTGAAAACAAAATACAAATAAAAGAAGAAGAACGATGTGATGAAGTGGAAAATTTGAAAAGCGAAAATAATACACAAGAGATAAAGAAGAAAGAATTCAGTGAAGAGGATAACCAAAAATGTTGTGTGCGTGCTGTGCCATTTATAAACGGCGGCCTACCCGGCCTGCCAGCACCAGGATGCCGAGAACCACCCGATGTTGTACAAGTGGGACCCCACTCATTCCCTGTGACCCATGCCCTACCCTTAGATTGTTCACAATTGCAAGTTTATCAAAAAACTGTCCTGCCCATGATGACTCTCTTCATGGAGGGCTTTGATGCCTCTGTGGTCACATATGGTCAGAGGGGGTGTGGTAAAACCTATACCCTTTACGGTCAAGGTCCTACGCAAAATGAAAACCAAGGTCTGGTGGCATTTTGTGTGCGCGAAATCTTCAATCACATTCACCGGCATCCGGAAAGGACTTGTATCGTCAACATCACCTGGGTGGAAATATGTCGAGAAATTATACGCGACATATTCGGGGTGGGTAGTGTCCAGTGTATGAATTTAACAGATGCCTTTCATTGGCTTCAAGTGGGCTATAAACTACTCACTTCGACGAAATCGCAAATGGGCCACTCGCTTTTTAGTATCACTCTGGAACAACGTTGGATCTCCAAAGAGGGTCTAATACAACATCGCCTATCCACGGCCAGTTTTACAGATCTCTGTGCCACTGATCGCCAAATGTTAAAAATCGCAAATGATCAAACTGCATTGGTGCCACTGGACAAAGGTTTACAGGCTTTGGAATGTGTAATTGGGAGCCTCATTGATCCTGCTTTGGTCCACAAGGGTTATGACTGCATACCCTATAATCGCAGCATGTTAACCACCATGTTGAAGGATTCATTTGGTGGCCGTGCCCAAACATTGGTGTTGGTATGCATTTCCCCTTGGGAGAGGGATGTGGCTGAAACAATGGCGAATATGCAATTTGCCTTTAAGGTCCAGTGTGTCCATAATTTTGTCGTCATCAATTCGTTTTCTGATGATAACACCCCAGCAATACCAGAGGGGGTGGGAGATGCTGGAAATCAAAGTGCAAGTGAGGGAAGTGAAAAAGAGGAAAAGGACGATGAGGAGGAAGACGACGAAGAGGACGATGATGACGAGGACGAAGATGAGGATGATGAAGAGGGTGGTGCTTCGCTTAAGAAGTCGCAGGATCCATTTGCCTTACAATTTGCTGCGAATCAATGGTCCAAATTGGTTTCCAATGCCGAGGATTTACTGTCAAAGTGAGTATTTCTTATTATTATTTTTTTAATTTTTTAACACTTTCCTTTAGAGAACTAGAGAGTTTTTCTCTTCTCCACACCCCAGAAGGGATTGAAGTTAAGGATTTAAAATTCAATGTCAAACCGGCGTCCAACATGTAGTTGGTAGCTTTAAATAGCCAATTCGGAATTTTCAACAGACACTTTCCTTTAGGGAGAATTTTAATTTTTCTCACACCTAAAGGGGATTTAAGCTAAGGATTTAAATACCAATGACATACTGGCGCCCAAGGCGGGGTTTTATACTTTGAATCGCCAAACCGACATTTTTAACAAACAGTTTAATGCAAAAATCGGTGTCTACGTATTGGCTGCGTGCTGTCAAAGTAGGAGAATATCGCTGGCGTTCACAGGTTCTTAAGAATTCGGTATGACCCAGACTACTTTATGCCGAATTTTTCGTTAGGTTCGTGCTTTACACTCTTACAAGAAACAACTGACTGAACAATTAAATTCCATAGATCATTTAAAACGACATAAGCTGTCAAGTTTTATTGGAAACCCCTTCATAAGAAATTGGCGCCCAACATAAAATTGTCCAACATGTAAAAAAAAAAAAAAATTAAAAAAATGGCGCCCAACTGCATTTTTATTTCAAAAGTTGGAAATTGGAAAAACCGCCTATAGTGACGATCTAATGGTCAGGAAAACTGAAGTTGAATATATATATATATATATAAAGATCAATTAGACACTCCTTTATGTCAAGGATCTCTCGTCATTCAGGGAACTCCTCAAAGTACCTGATTTTTAAAAAACTCTTGACATAATTTTACAAGACATGCTTAGGCTACCCAGAGCTTTCTCTCCAATGGAGGGATAATTGGAGACGCCATTACACGCGAAGTAGGAACATTTTTAATTAAGAAATCGTGTAGTTCCCATGAACTTTCGAATAAACTTCAGATTCCTTTTGATTGGAAGGAATTCCATATCGGTTATTATGGACTCTCCTTCTAGCTGATTTAGACACTCCATTACCATCCTCTGGAATGATAAATGATGAGTAGGATTTCTCGATATCCAGGCACCCCCTTAAAGGTCGTGATTAAATATAGATTCCTGATATAATTTTCCCAATCGTACATGGGCTACCCAGAGCTTTTTCTCCTGTGGAGGGTTAACTTCAGTTACCTTTGTACGCGATGTAGGAACGCTTTTAATTAAGAAGTCGAATAGTTCCTTGCGAACTTTTGAACAAAAATGAGATTCCTCTTGATTTGAAGGAATGTTTTATCGTTTATTTTGGGCTCTCCTTCTAGCTGATTTAGACACTCCTTTATCTTTCTTTGCAAATATAGATGGTGCCAAGAATTTCTCGCTATCCAGTCAACCCCTCAAAGGTCCTTGTCAAATATAGACTCCTTACATAATTTTCCCAGTCATGCTTAGGCTACCCAGGGCTATCTCTTCAGTAGAGGTTTAACTTCAGCTACCTTTGCATACGATGTAGGAACTTTTTTAATAAAGTTCCGTGTGAACTTCCAAATAAACTTGAGATTCATCTTGATTTGAAGGAATTACGTATGTATTGTTGTGTTCCTGTCTCTCACGATGTCTTCTTTTTGTCCGCTGCTTCCTTGGCATTGATAGATTTGGTGCATGATTGAACTCATTCATTGATTCAGTGGGCAGATCATCGGCACCAACTCAAATGCCTTTAGTCTTGGTAGTATAGCCTTGCCACTTTATGCCATGGAGCTGAGGTTTCCATCTCCACCTTTGCTTAGGAGTCACTTGAATAACCGTTGTGTTGACTACATTAGTATCCATGGCGTCAGATCTCTCTGAGGCCGCATAAATATCATCAAGTGAATGGAGTTGGAAGGTTCAAAGGAAAAGTCAGTTCGGGTTGGTTGTTGAAGTTGTGCCTGGATAGCATGAGACTGGAGATGCCTAGGGAGTCACACAAACATCAGTGGAAATGGAGTCATCATCATTTGGTTTGTTTTAAGAGTGTAATTTCGTCAGTAATATCCATGGGAGTATTTGATATGTGAGGATTGGAGATCGACCATGGCATAGCCCCTTGTCAAGCACTTAGCAGCTAAGTTTGAAAAACTTCTTGAGGTGCCCAGGTATCCAAAAGGTTCCCGGTATCGTGAAACAATCATGGGTACGAGGTCGTCTAACATCCCTGTTTTCGGGAAGTAACTTTTGGGATGAAGAGACCTAAGCTGTAGAGAGTGGTAATGTAGGGGGGCCAAGTTCCGCTTATTGATCTTGGGCTCATAGGCAATCGGTTATTTCTTTCGAGACTCTTCCCAAAACGCGCTGACTCTCTGCGACTGGTTATTTAATTCGCAGATACTCACGGGCTATTTCGTCCTTTTGATCTTGGGATCATAGGCACTCGGTAATTTCCTTTACATTCCCCCTACCCAATGACTTTCACAGCTATCCAATGCATTTTTATTGGCCTTTCCACTATCCGCAACATATAGACGCGTCCGCGTAACATCCCAGTGTTCGGTGTGTCACTTTTGGGAGGAAGTGATATAACTCCTAGAGATTGTTTAACAAGGGGAGGAAAGTTCTCCTCCTAGATCTTGGGCTCATATGCAGTCAGTCATTTTTCCGAGACTCTACCCCGCTGACTGTCCACGATTTCTTATTCACAGCTACTCAAGATAGCCTTGCTTCCCGTAGGCGGATTAAATTAGTGCCCAATAACCATCCCTAAGACATGGAATTTACGATTTGCAAGTTTTTGAATATATTGTCAAACATGCACAACGTACATTTGGCGCTCAACGTTGATAGAATACTTCCTTACTTGAACGAAAATTTGAAGTATCGACAAATCGTGAAATACTCATGGGCAGGAGATCGTTCACGAGGTCACTTTGGGGAGGAATTGACCTATCCTGTAAAGATTGGTTATCAAGGGGCGCAAAGTTCGCCTCAGTAATCTTGGGCTCATAGATAATTGGTAATTTCATCCGAGACACTCCCCGCACACCCGCTGACTGCTATGCAAATATTTTTTATTGGACTTTCCACTATCCGCAGCCTGTGGATCGGTCCGACAACATTCATATTTGTTCTCCATATGCGGAGAAATTAGTGCTCAAAAACGGAACCTCTGAAGCTTTCCAAGCATAGTTTTCTTCTTCAATATTATCAACCTCTCTTTTAAAAAACAATTTCCTAACTCTCCTTCGTTTTCACCTCTTTTTCAGATTAATAAATTCCAATGCCATTGGCGAAGATGAGAAGCAGCAAATTGAATCGTGGCTAATACAGAAGCAGGAATGTGATGATTGTCTCAATTCAAATGATTCCTCACAAACCGATACCATTCTCGATCCCATACAAGAAGAAGAAGGGGAAATGGAAGCACCAAGTCCCCCAGAAAATGAAAAAGAAGCAGAAGATAGTGCCAACGAACTCAGTGATCCTGATGTTACAGATCCGGAACTCTCATTACCGGCAAATTCGGAAAATGAATCCGACGCGGAATCGCAACAACCGGACGCTAAAAGTAAATTGGAACTGTTGATGCAAAAATTCGAAAAGAAAACCGATGAAATGGCAATGCGGAAATACAGTGATTTTATGAAAATTCACCCAAAGGCAGTGACAGAATCTCAGGAGAGTGGAGCATTTCGTAAGTTCGCAAATGGCGATGATGAGGAGAGGAGGCCTTCGTTGGCGTGCTCAGAGCGTGGCCGTCGTAGATCTATACAACCAGGGTCGGCTTTATCAAGTGTGGAATTGGCGATGCTGCAACAATTGGCCACAAGGGAACAATTGGATAATGGCAAGGGCAACAAAGAGAGTGGTGGTGGTGCTGGTGTTCAGAGCAAAGACCTGCCCTGGGAGGGGAAGGTGAATTCCGGTCGAGAAGCGGTGGAAAAGAAAATACGCAAACTGGATGCCAATATTGAGGGCCGTATGAAACAGATCCAGGAACTGGAGAAGACAATACAGCTGAAGCAGAACATTATTATGGATCTGGTGGAGACGAGTGATACCAGAACCACAGCTAAGCAGAGGTTCAACAAGAAACGCCATAAGCTGCAGGAGGAGTATGACAAATCGAAGAAGTCTTTGAGTAAAGCTTTGCAGCAGAGGAAAGATAAACGTGAGGTAGAACGTCTAAAGGCCGATGTGGCCCATTTGGAGCAGAGGCTGAATGATGTGACCTCGATAAAACACATTGCCGGAGATAGTGTACAAAAGGTTAAGAAACTGCAGCAGTCCCTAAAGGAGTCTCAGACTTTGCTGGAAAATCTCAAAAAGAAGGTGGAAAAGGAAAAGAAAAAGAAGGAAAATCTAGAGCAGGGATTAAAGGATTTACCCAAAGAGGAAGAGCTTCCAAAGAAAGTCACAAAAGTTATGGTGCACTCCGCACCTACAGAAGAACCTCCTGAAATGCAGGAGATTCAATCCCGCATCGATCATTTGGATCATATCCTAAAGGAAAAATCCAAAAATCTGCAACAACCTCAGCAAGAAGAAAATGGCGCTCAACATGAGGGTCTGAGGCATGAAATACGAAATCTGCGTAAGACACGTGATCATCTCCTGGATCAGAGATGCTTTTTGGATCAGAAATTTAAACGTGACAAGGCTCTAAGTCAAAAGGAGGAACGTAAGCTTTTGGAATGCGATGAAGCCATTGAGGCCATCGATGCTGCCATTGAATTTAAAAATGAATTGATCTGTGGCAACAAGTCCATCGATACCGATGAACGTTTGCAGCGGGAGAAGGGAGAACAGATGCTAATGGCCCGGCTTAATAAGCTTAGTAATGAAGAGATGCGTACCCTGCTCTATAAATATTTCAATAAAGTTATCGATCTGAGGGATTCATCGCGGAAGTTGGAAATGCAGCTGATGCAGTTGGAACGAGAGAAAGATGCCTGGGAATGGAAAGAGCGTGTTCTCTCCAATGCCATACGCCAAGCTCACTTGGAGGGTGAAAGGAAAGCCATCCTAATGCAAAGGCAACATGAAATGAAATTAACGCTCATGTTACGGCACATGGCCGAGGAATCTTCCATGAGTTCGGCATCATTTTCCGATCAATCACTCTCCTCGCTCTCCAGCATTCACAAACCCTCCTCCATGGCTTTGGTGCCGACAACAATGTCCATCACCAGTTCGGGAAATACAGATTCTGATTATCAATGGCCACATCAAATGAATCAAAAACTAAACAAACTACCAAGATATAAAGAAGATCCCCTACGCCTATGTCCCGCACCAAAGGATCATCCTCTGCCCCTGTACAAACAACCTTTGGATGCCTTTAAGGGGAAAACCGTAAAAGTGGCAGCTGCTGCCTCTTTAATCACCAACAATTACACAGAACCAAATCTCAATTGGCCCATGCCTCCTAGGCCACCAAAATCCAATGATATGGAATTGTGCCCCTTACCCAATCGCACCGTCACTAAATATCAAAAATCCGATGAACAAAACATGAAAATCAAAGAGAAGGAAAGTAAAAATAAATTATTTGCTAAATTTCAAGTTCTGACACGCTATGCCACAAGTAGTCAAAGGCATGAAGATTCCGCCACCTCGAACTCTTCGAATTCAAGTGGTAAATCAAATAAAGAAGTGGCGTTACTGGCGTCCCCTGAGAAACATAAAAAGTCATCGAAGAAGGGACAGAAGACGAAGGTGACGAGACAGAAAAATAAGTTGATCATTCAGGATAAGACGCGGAAGAATTGATAAGGAGAGGCAGGAAGTAATGTAAGTTCGAAAAGGGAAGTATAAAAATTATTTTTAATGGGCCTAATTAGGATTCTAAATTATGAGAGACAAAACTAGCCGAATTTAGATGGAACTGATAGATAGGAAACCACCAAAAAACTTAAAATTTGAAGAATATGAGAATCACAAAGAAAATGGCGTCCAACGTGGTTGAAAAATTAATTTAATTGTTTGTTAGTACTCGTATTCTAAAATCTATTGATATCCAAAGTAGTATTTTGGGCCTTAACTTTTATATGAAATACTTTGGCAGAATATAAAACAAATGGCGCCCAACGGAATCCATCAAAAAATTAGAAATTTGAATATGAGGATTACAAAGAAAGTGGCGCCCAACGCGATTAAAAAAACATGTTTGTTAATAATCGTATTCTAAAATTTACTGATATTCAAAATAACTTTTCGAATTTACATTGATAATGTGTATTTTTGCGGAACAAATATCAGACGGCGCCCAACGTGAATAACTAATTTTGGGAGACAAACATAACCATAGGTAGAATTGATAGAGAGGAATCCCAGCGTGAGATGCTTGTGTAATATTTTGGTGCCCAACTTGAGGAGCTGAAGTAATCTTGGAATGAGAAATTCTAAATTCAAAGTATTTTTTGTTGTGAAGTGCGGGAGGATATTTTAAGATATTACATAAATGATACCTATATTATAGAAAAGTTGCGGAATATTAGACACCTTTAAAAAGTGGCGCCCAAGGTGACAAAATATTTAAATCAATACGTTCAAATAGTTTTTTGGACCTTCATGAATATTTGGAAAAGAATACTTTATTTTTGTAACATTTAGAAATCCGAATAAGAAATATATGTTTAAATGGAGCCCATCTTTTGGGATTGTAGTGTTCAAAAGTGTATACAATCCTAACCTCAAGAATATTTAAAAATTGTCGTAAATTTAATCGATGTTGGCGACCAACATTAATATACATTTTTTTCGCCAGAACTATTTACAATGGAAAGGTCTGTTAGAATCTGATAGTTGTATGAGGTTCACAATGACCTTGTGATATTTATGTCGAAAACAATACAAAATCGACAGAATATAAAACTCTCAAGAATAAAGTGGCGCCCAACGTCCAAAGAAAGGAATGAGACTTTCATCTCTCCACACTTTCTTATTAAAACTAACTCCCTCCAAATAAAAAAAGTATCCAATCATTTTTCGTACTCTATTTTGGAAAAACAATTTGAAGCTCCCAAGAACAAAGTGGCGCCCAACGTTAAATGAGTGAAATTTCTCTTCGGCTTACTTTCAATGTATTCTACAATGTTCATAACTACGGCTCACATTTTAGCGGCAAAGCAATATTCGAAATTCAACGAATCTAAAGTTTTAAGGTGGCGCCCAACGTAAACAACATGAAGTAACGTATTCGTCTCTATATATTTTTTATTAAAATCTGCCATATCCCAAATTTCAATTCAATATTTGGATTGGTATTTTGAAAAAGAAGAATTTCTCTAAAGAAAAAAAAAACAAGCAAATATTTGGTGTACCTTCGTGGCGTACCCAATGCCATTTCACAAAAAAATCGTTTCGACATATTTTTGTATTAAAATATGTCTTCTATCAAACTTCAATTTTGGGTTATCATTTTGAAAAAGAAGAATTTTTCACAAAAAGAAATTCAGCCAAGATTTGTGGCGCCCAACGTAAATGACAAGGCGCCTAACGTTAAATACAACGAATGGCGAAATCGTATCTCTATATTCTTTATTAAAATCTGTCATCTCTCAAACTTGAACTGACATTTTGAAAAGAAAGTCATTTTCAAGAGAACAATATCAGGCAATATGTGAACTCTCTTTGTGGCGCCCAACGTCATTTCAACCAATTTTATATTAAATTTTATAAACTTTAGAAAATATAATTTTAATTAAAAATGTGGCGCCCAACTATTTGATGACAAAGTACAGAATTCGTGCTTTAAAAACTTTAAAAGACAAGTTATCGTTGCACATATTCATTTCAATCTCAATCTCACACACTTCATATTTTGCCAATTTCGTATTGAAAATGTGATTTCAATTAAAAAAAAAAATCAGCGCACAAATGCTATATGGAGAAATGCAATTTTATTCGTTTAACAAAATGTATAACATTCCTTTAGTGTAAAACAAATTTTGAAAACTACCAATAGCGCACCTAATGTTTAGGATCTTCCGATATTCTGTAAATATTCGGTATTTTGTGCACGTTTTCAAACCTATTGAAATTTGTAGTATTTTTAGTTATCTTTGTCAAATATTCCTTTTTAGGTCAAAAATGTATCAACATTGGTGCACTTTTTTTATATAAAATTTTGTACCCTTTCAATAATATGATTTTAATAAAAAATGTGGCGCCCAACTTCTAAATTCCACCTAATATTTAGGATTCCCCAGTATTCTCTAAATATTCAGTATTTTGGGCACATTTTTCAACCTAATTCCGAATTTTGCAGTAAAATCTTCCTTTAAAAATTTAGATTTTTTTAGATTAGTCCTCATATAACATTACCTCTAAAATGTTGGTATTTTTTGGGATTTTACACAATTTTTTCAATCTAATTGGCTCTAAATTTTTATTTTGGTTTCTCATTGGGTGTCAAATCTTCTTCTTCCTAAAAATTATCAGTATCTATTCTCGTTTTGGTATAGTCCATATAATGGAACCCAAGTTTCGGTGTTAGTTATGTATATGGCCTATCCTGTCAGATTATACAGAATTGCTTACTGGTTTCTAAGTATATGAAACCAATAAGCAATTCTCTATAGCGAAGTTAAGGTCTCATGAACCCAGTAGCATAAAAACCGTTAGGTTTTCAGTTGTCTTCTTTTACATATCCACTTTTAATTTCAAAATGTTCGTAATGTGACCCACAATGGGAAACTATTGGTGTGTTACAGAACCTGTTTTACTACGATAACAATTTTTCCTCTATGATATCGAGATAAGTTGTAAGAATTAGTAGACTCTTGCAGTATGGGAACATGCCATATAATTACAATTTTCTATTAAAAGTGTAACATTTTCAAATTTCGCTTTCATAATCTCTCAACATTCGTTTGAGACAAAAAGTTGAATAACTCCAGAACAATTCAAAATTATAATGGCGCCCAACTGAAGAATGATTTAAAGACCTCTTTCCTCAGGTTGTAATGTTACTAATTCAAGACTGTGAAGTTTTTTTTTTTGCGAAAAATAAAAAGTCTTTAAGTGATCACAAAGTTATTGTGTCGGATTTCTAAGGTTATTAACAACAATGTATAAATTTTCCTTAATTTTGTTACGGTGAAAATTTCAATTTCCGTTTAATTTGGCTATTTTTTATTACATCTCTCATATGAGTTCTCCCATACTGTCCTCACTATATATAACTCGTTAAAATAATAAAAAAAAATAAGTTAAGCTAATATTTTATGTATGATTTTTTGTAAATAATATAAGTCATAGTTTATAAAAAATACAAAGAATTTTGATCTCAAAGATTTAAAATCTTAAACCTAAATAATAAATAAATTGCTCAAATGTAATCCTCTGTAAACTATGTTTATATAACATATATTTTAAATAATTAAGTAATTCTAAATAAAAATAAATTGTATTTAGGAATATATTTTTTCTAGTCTAAGTAAACCATTGTAACTATTGTCAAATAAAAATATCGAAAATAATAATTATAATAAACTACAATTGAAAAAATAATCCCACAATAAAACAAATTTTTGCAATTTTTTTTTCATTTTTACCTGCCGAATGGGACCATTAGCGAAATTGCTTTGTGGCACATCATAAAATCTCGCCTCTTTATAAGTCTTTAAATGGTTATGATGTGCGCTATTGTTCTAAGAAAAATTGGCTGAATTTCATAGAGATGTTAATCTGCGTAATTGAGAAACAGGTAAGTGAAGAAATGTGTATTGGATTTACCATCAAAAATTCAGTGAATAATTGTTGTAGTTTGTCTTTGTTGCAAAATGTGTGCCTTAAGTCTTTTATGTGCGCGTTTGTGTCTTAAGTCTTTCTTTTGTTGTAACTCTTAGCATTTGAGTATAATAGACGATTTTTCATAAGGATGGGCGATAGCAGCAACCTTTTAACTGCTTGCAAAATTCCAACAGAAATCCCGACCAACTTTTAAAAGAAAAAAATGCAAAAATGTTACCAGTTTATTACAAAGTCTATTTTGGAAGACCAGTTATTTCGGCATATCTTTTTATGCTAGTGCATATGGATGGTCTCTAATTTTTGGTTTGCGTTTTTAATCAGTTTTTTTGCAAAAAAAAAAACTTCACAGTCTTGAATTAGTAACTTTACAACCTGAGGAAAGAGGTCTTTAAATCATTCTTCAGTTGGGCGCCATTATAATTTTGAATTGTTCTGGAGTTATTCAACTTTTTGTCTCAAACCAATGTTGAGAGATTATGAAAGTGAAATTTGAAAATGTTACACTTTTAATAGAAAATTGTAATTATATGGCATGTTCCCATACTGCAAGAGTCTACTAATTCTTACAACTTATCTCGATATCATAGAGGAAAAATTGTTATCATAGTAAAACAGGTTCTGAAACACACCAATAGTTTCCCATTGCGGGTCACATTACGAACATTTGGAAATTAAAATTGGATTTGTAAAAAAAGAGAACTGAAAACCTAACGGTTTTTGTGCTACTGGGTTCATGAGACCTTAACTTCGCTATAGAGAATTGCTTATTGGTTTCATATACTTAGAAACCAGTAAGCAATTCTGTATAGTCGGACAGGATAGGCCATATGCATAACTAACACCGAAACTTGGGTTCCATTATACGGATTATACCAAAACGAGAATAGATACTGATAATTTTTAGTAAGACGATTTGACACCCAATGAGAACCCAAAATAACAATTTAGAGCTAATTAGA